TGAGAGAATAAATAATGACCCACTCCGGAAAAATGCAACATGGTCTTTGCCCTCAAAACGTGCTGTATATATTTAGACAGCAACTGCTTGTGCTACCGCTATCGTGGGGCAATTGCCCGTCGCAGTTATTTGTCAGCCCAAATTTCAGAGAGTCGATCCGATCACGGCATCTGAGCGAGCTCAACCACTGGAAGCGGTTTCATTGAGATCGCGGTAAACCCCTGTTGTTTGCCTGGTCCATCATCTTCTGAGGCTGCACAAGTTCAGAGCTCTGCGCGATTAGAAGTGGTGGGCTTTCGCCAATTGAGTGCCGGCTCATTTGTCATCACTCGCTTCTTCTATCCTCTTACTCTGGGTTGAGCTAAAAGACTTAAAAGAGTGTAGATGGTGCCTACTGGCGAAACAGCCGTCTCTTCAGGAAACGCCGCGGCGCTATTGGCACAATCGCGATCGACACGATATCTCGTGACGCCAATCTCCGTCGCGAAAGGAGTTAAATGTCCCCAAATTGAGCCGTGTTGACATAGAAGATGGATCCATAGCGAATGCGCCAATAGCATTCCTCGTTTCCGAAAGAGGCGAGTAAGTTAGTTCTCTCCAACCCCGCCGTCATTCAGAACCACGTGATTTCATTAGTGTGTCTCGTAAAGTATTATTGAGGTATTGGGTATTGCGAATCAGGAACTTCCGGCAAGGCGATCGATGCTGTGAGAGGTGGAAAATTCGATATTAAGACCAGGGTGACGTCTGCTTGAGTCCCTGTATCGGCCGACTGCTGAACCTAAGACGATGACTCGCCATATGACGCATTCCCTTTAACCTGACACAGGGTTCATTCAGGTATCCAATTGATAACAGCTCTTCTTCGGTGACTAACACTACCATGGCCCTCGCAACTGCGCGTTTGTATACTGACAAATTGATACTGAATGGCTCCAGTGTCCACAACTATATCATTGCAGTTGGCGATCAACCCTTAAGTGCCGGTTATAATGGTTGCCTCACTATACAGTATACTGACGATACCATGCAAGAAAGTGGCGCATCCATTCATATAAAACGTGACTATACATGCGGAAGATGCCTATGAACTTAGAAGAGTAGGGTTCTAAATCGTAAAGCTCAACTTCCGTAGGAACTACCGCTATAAAGTACGCAGTAATGCTATAAATCTCATGAAAGCAAGTCGGGTTTAAAAGCACAATCGTTTACTTCTTCTTTTCTCGACTTTAACGACCATCCGGTCCGTGCTAGACTATCTGAACCGATCATATGAAAGCCTGATAAAAGGTCACAGAAATAGGAACTCTGCCCTGTACTGAAATCGAACGTCTCAGTGATGAGCTGCAGCCTTTTGTGAACAGATATTTTAGTAGATTCTCCTGCGCGTTCTAATCCATCTGATGGTCTTGTTTATCACCATCAGTTCGTGAATCACATGAACGTTAACTCACGCCACCTCCGCTAATTCCAGGATCATGTCCGTGGTCGCTTCGTTTGTCCGGCGACTGATTTCAACTACCCTCCGCGCGATGTGGAACACAAGCTGCCCTTCAACCTGCGCCTAGATGGTAATATACAATAGCAGGCATTTTAGCTGCTATGAACGAGCGTACAAAATTCGTCATGAGCTGGAAAGATAGGTACCCTTCTGCAATCTCTATGATGAACTTACACTAGTCATCCATCCCTCTATCTGCTAGCACTATCGAGGCTCAGACGAGCCGCAATCAGCATTGTAAGTATGCATGCTTTCTCAGAAACAAAGTTCGCCTGGTCAAACATAGAGTCTATGTGTACTGTACGAAGCAGCCCAGCCTCATCAAGCCGTCTGTCTTGAGTCCCTTGGCGGAAGACTTGTGCTCATATGCTTAGAACCAGAGCCGCCGCTCCACTTGTGCTGACTATACAACTTGCAAAGAATATCCGTGAATCTCCATTTCTAGTCAACCAGCTCCATAATGATCATGCAAGCTAGTCGTTTCTTCTACTCTCAAAAAGAGCCCCGTGTGCGAAACAATTTTTTTTCCAAAAAGATAGACGAAGCAAACAGCTTCCTTTTATCGAAGTGTTGGGTATTGTGCTCGCTACGCCGCTGGCATCGATGGCGAACCGGAAAAGGCCATACTTGGCTGCAAAAAGACCATAAATAGTAGCCTCTTAGACACTACGTAATCCGAACCTGCTGTTTTTAATTCCGCGGCAAAAGCTTCAAAATGTCGCGGGCGATCGCGGGTGGCCTCCAGCGGTGTTCTGAGCGCCTATGAAGAACACTATGCCCATACGATGTATCCTTCCCGGGAGAATCTGAGGCCACGTTTAAGAAAAGGCTGTCTGCCCTACACGGCGGAGAAAAAAGCTGCAATCTCAGCTATTGGATGCTGCTCCAGGGGCCATGCTGACGTAAAGCCATATGATAGAAATTCAAACGGGTGGCGGCGTCGGTGGTACGCTCCTCAGAAGGTGCATCCACGGCTCGGATAATGGGAGCCATGAAGTCGGTGCCTGTTGGTAAATTTGTCGCACCGTCCATTCGCGCCGCTTCGATTGCTGAACCTGATGCAGCGCAAGCGGCTGATCGGCAGTCCTGAGACGCACCAGGGCGAGGAGGGGCGGCTCCTTTCGGTTCGATGGAAGAGTCTGGTGGCAGCTGAATGGCCGTCGTACGAGTTCCTGGCGAAAGCCAGTTCATGACCTGTTTATACTTCTCATTATATTGGTCTGGATCGTGTATCGCATCTTAAAATGTGTCAAACGCACCTTGAGATGAACGTCGTGATAAATGGCCTCGATGGATTCCAGTAATTGTAATCTGAGGTTTCGTACGTTTCATGGCTCGACTTTATTTGTTTGTTTTGTGGTAATGCCATTTTGTTCGGTTGCTCGACTCTCTGGGTTGTGAATGAGACTTACAGCTGCCACGCGATCGTCAACGACTTCGATGTCGCAGTGTGAGCGTTTCGCTTGACGTAGTTTTGACGTTTTTCTTTCATCCGTTCCCTTCGAGATACTTCACACAAGGAGCGTTTTCTTCACGCGTTTTCTTTTTATCGAAAGCCACGAATATGTGTATTGCTGACACGTTAGCAACGCAAAGACGGCGTCTGAAGCTACGTAATAATTACAGATCGGTTGAAACGACACGGCTATGTAAATCACGCGATTCAAAATCTGCAACGATTCAGTCGATGAATGTAAATCTGTCGTTACTTTGTAGACCTTTTATGGTTGAACGGACTAAACTTCGGCAAATGTTGCAGAAGCGATCCATAACAAATGACAGGTTGCAACTTTGACGACAGCAATCTACAAATGTGTAATGTAGCGACCCGCTCCTTACTCATTGCGCACGTCCAGCACCGGTTGGTGGTTTAGTCAGGGGATGTAGTGGCAACCAATGAGTAAAGTATACAACACACGATCTTTGACGGTAAAATTACTACAATATTTACTTGGCGCGGTACATATTGCTCAAGATTATCAATACAAATGCTAGTCCTAATGCTCTAATTAGCGGTCAACATAATGCAACAGGCTCACCCCGTTACAAGTCCATTCATGTATGCTTCAACACTTCTTTAGTCTCTTCGCCACCATCAGCACAGACGACGACAATTTCTCTCGCTTTACCTCTGCTCAGCTTTTGATTACGGTCGTCTGTCTCCCATGCATCGACTGTTCATATCGTGCAAGAATCGACACATGCATGGCAAGCAAATGGGGCAGCGCCACACTTGTTAGGAATGACCATTGTCGTAATGGCAAGGCAAAAGTGGATGGAAGATTCGTACGATGACTGCATCGAGACAGCGTCCACCTTTTGATTCCGAGCAACTTCTTGAGTTAGGTCACGTAGGGTATAGCAGGTCGATCGCGTAGCTGAATGTACCTCATCATACTCGCACTCACTTTTGTATCGCACCAGCAAACAAGAGATATCAACGAGTTTACACTATGACAGCGTGGGCGATTGTCACCTCGTTGCAATGATCGGTATTTAAAGTGGCTGAACACCTCATCCTGTGTATCACAGTCCGATGACGGAGTCTGACGCCATCTGCAGAGCGTAAGCGCTCAAACGCTTAACGACTCTTGTATGCGTAGGAGGAGCCATTGCGGCATACCCAATAATGGCGGCGGACTCATTTTGACTGTAAACCTGCAAAGATGAGCCGTTACAATGTGCTTTTGGCGCTAGAATGACCACGTGCACGAGACGCTTTGTGACTGCTTGCACGGGGTCAAAGGAATGATCAGGAGACATATCAACGAGGTCTTGTAGGTAAATGATGAAAGATCTATCACTCATGCTTGGTCGAGCCAGACCTTGCTCCCATATACACTGCCACAGCTTCGGCGACTCTGCACAAAGTGGCAAATTACTGCAACTGCACAAGTGATGAACTTCTACTTCTGCACAGTATGATCGTCCTGGCTTCGTGATTGAAGGTCGGCTAGTCTTGACGCGTTGGCATGTGTAGTGAGGCTATGGTCGCAAGATCCGCAGCGAGAAAGTCAGGGCGCACCTGAGCAAGTACGAGAGTAAGGCACAGCAAAACGCACGTCCGTCCATTCCCAGCGATCACATGCAAACACCTTACAACAACACGCTTCGTGATCCGAAAGGGTGCCATCCCATCACCTTGTTGCGCACAAAAAAACTCGCCTCCTTTGTCAGGGAAAAGAGACTGCTCTATCCTTGCATCATGCTGGCACCGCTCTTGTTCCAAGCTCCACCCACAGCACAACAACTGCATGGGATGCTATTCTGCATCGTGCCCTTCCGTAGACGACTTGTCCACTAGCAGTCGTACTGTATCGTCATGCAAAAGGTCCACAGATATTGGAGACAACCACTTCATGGCTCGACCTGTTTGGTCCACGCAGTAGCAAACCTGTTTACCATCGCCCGATCAGGCCACCGAGCTGCCATTTCACGCATGTTATCACGATGACCGGCATTCGAACGTCGCACCACTCCTTACCCGCTTCGTATCGGTCTAAGCAGACGTAAAGTCACCCCAGTCCTCTTCGTCATCCTGTGTCTTCGCTTCAGCAACTACCGGTGGTACTGCACTCGTTAGCGCCGTCATCAACGACTCGCTCGGTGGCGGCGGAATCAATGGCACCACGTGAGACCCGGTCGCCCCCGAACCTTGTCCACTACACCTGCTACTGCCTGCCCCATCACTCGGTCGAGCCCGCGCCTCGTTGTCTCGCTCGTCACTGCAATGAGTGGTCTTCAACTTGAGTCGGATCGTCGCTCCTTCCGGTAGACTCAATGTGCTCGGAGGAGGACCACGAGACCCCTCATGGCCCTCCTCCTCCTCACTCCCGTCAGCAGCTGCGCCCTCTCTCTCCTGCATCGCCTCTTGACGGAGCGCGTACTTGGCATAGTCCTGCACTGTCGCCTTGAAGTTGAACGCTGTGGTGCGGTCCGGAAAGCCAATGCCGACAAACGCCCGGCGACCGCTCTGGTCGTCGGTCACGCGCAGCATAAAGTAGCGCGACGAGTCGACACAGTCGTGGACGTACACGTCGAGTGGAAGGGCCCGTGTGATCTCCAGCGGACAGTGGGCAAAGAGACGAGGGGCGTCGAAATGGGTGGCGACGGGCGCGACGGGCGACTCGAAGAGTTGGACGACGCACGCGTCGCCTGTTTGCATAATGCACATGGAACCCGTGAGGAGCGGACGCTCAATGTCCCACGCGTCGGCGCGAGGGGCGAGCGACGTCACGTGCGTGGCCGGCACGCGGTAGATCCACACGTTGTTCTCGCGGAAGAGACATCGCTCGAGCACGAACGTCTCTGATGGTAGAGATAGTGACGATGGTGAGGAGGAGGACATGGACATTGACATTATTACTGATACGGATGAGGAGGAGGAGGAGGAGGATGTTGTCAATGTGGTCGTAGGTGGTCAATGTCGACCCGATGACGACTTGAGGGACTACTTGGCAGGTGGATCGATATCTGTTTGTCTGTCTCTTTTTCACAGCGCAGTAAGTGAGACCGTCGACGAAAAAGCGTGGAAAGGAACGAAATATCGGGTGTGCCAACAGCTCTCCTTGTTACGCGCGAACCCGTCGATCTATCTAACTAAGTACCCGTTTCAGTATGTCCCCAGCAAGCTACGTACCCATCTACGCATGTACGTAGATGAATAGATGAATTCATCTGCTGCAACGCTCCCATTCCGGTGTGGACAGACCGTTTGCACGACTACAAGTGTGGTAGCAAGCGATTGCGTATACATACAAACTCGTCGTGTTTTCGTTAGGGTCTCCATCCTCATCGTCTTCTTTCTCATCTTCTGCTCCATCCTCATCGTCTTCTTTCTCATCTTCTGCTCCATCCTCATGGTGTTCTACTTGTTCGCTCTTGTCGCCTACGCCTCGTTGTAGAGCTCGCGACGGATCTCGGGCGTGATCTGGTGGTGAAAGTGCTGCTTGAACAGCGCTTTCATCGCTTCCTTGTGCTGCTTGGGAATGTCGTTCTTGTAGCGCTGCGCAAACACGAGCAGCGACTGGTGCCACAACACGGGCAGCGTGCGCGTGTCGGACGTGAAGCGCACAAAGTGCTGACTCAACTCGGCGATCACGCGCGTGGGCAGACTGTACTTCTTGTTGAGCAGCACGCGGATAAACATGCTGTTGCCGCCGGCGTACTCCATGGACGCGAGCTTCATCAGCGTTGCCGCGGAATGGATCACGGGCACCGACACTTTGGACAAGACACTGCCAACGATTGCAGCTTCTCGCTGCGTGCAGTTCCGGCTCTCACAGAGCGGGATGACAATCCCTTTGAAGAACGCCTGGGGTTTGTACAGCGCCTTCTTGAGCGCCATGTACAAGTGAAAGTTCAGCCGCTTGTTCTCGTGAATGTCTTGTCGCACGTGCTCGAGGAGAAAGATGTTGAAGAAGCGCTGCGCCATCTTTGGGTTCAAGTTGGACGCGAACAAGCGCGTGGCGGCGCGCATTGCATGAGGCGACCACTTTGCTGGACTCGTGAGCCACAGAATGTCTTCCCAGTAACTCAAGCTCGGGATCACTTTGAACGCTTTGGGCAACTTGCCCGACGTGTAGCGCTGCAAGATCTTGCCCACGCCCGTGTACACTTGCACGATCTTGGCGTCAAACTTGCCCCGTTGCAGCACATCTTCGTCCTGCTCGGGCCCCTCGCCGCGATCCCGCGCCTCTTTCTCAAAGATCTTGTCCATGATAATGTCGGCGAGATTCCGACGCTCGGGGGCGCCCACGCTAAACGCCGCAAGCGCTTCCTCGTCGTCGTCGCACAGTTCAACTTCTTCCACGTAGTCGCCATTCACACGCACGAGGTCCTCCTGGCCGTCGCACTCGTCCATGTCCACGTCAGCGACGTCCTTCAGCTCGTCCTCGTCCGACTCGTCACTGCTCTTGTCGACGTCGACCTGTGGTCCTGCAGCTGACGCAGCCGATTGTCGACCGACTCGACGGGTCCGCTCCTTCTGCTGCCGCTGCTGCTCTTCGACCTGTTGCTGCCGCGCGAGCGCCAACGTCCGGCGACTCAACTTCTCCGGCACAACGTCTGGCGCCATGTCGTCGTCATTGTCGTCGTCATTGTCGTCGTCGTCCATGTGGCCGTTGGCCGAGGGGCCGCTCTTTGCGCTGTGGTCGTACCATGGCTTGTTGTCGAACGCCAGCTGCTTCTCGAGCGGACACGTCCGCTTGGGCTTCGACTTCGCTGACTTTGGCATTGTCCGCGACGCTTGAGGAATGAATGACTGGCCGCGAGCTGACTTGGCTCAAGTCGATGGGCGAACGACTAAATAGAGGAAATAGAGGAAATAGCGGAAATAGAGAGAGATTAGAGAAGAGAAGAGAGAGTGGAATAGATTGCGATAGGGATAGCGTGATGGATCGGTAGAGAACTTTTGCTGTGAGACGCGTCAATTGTCTGCTCTATCACGCGTGGCCAGCTTGCAGGAAAAAGCGTGCGTTGTAAACAAAGTCGGTTTGGCAACGTGTCGACGGAGGCGGCGAGGAGCCTGTCACTGCCATGAACGCGAGAGCAGCGACAGACGGTTCACTTGCACCCGTGTGCACCGACGCCAGGACGACTGGTCGTATCACTCGAGAGAGGCACCAATCGCGTACCGACAATGACGAGCCTTCGACGTATACAGTGCGTTTCTCGTGTATACATCTTGTCGAACGCTGGAAGCAAAAAAGACGTTTCGGCGTCGGGGTCGTGAGAGCACGGGGTACAACAATCGATACGTGTATACATATCATGCTAAACTTTATTTATCTTGTGGATGATATGTCCAGATGAGCGCCCACGCCATTGCATCGATCGACGAGTTGCTTGCCAAAGACGCAGAAGATGAGAGTCTACGGAGGTACAAGGAACGACTGTTGGGCGCCGCTGCGCATGGCGATCGTGGAGGTACCGTCACGTCATTAGCAGATCGATATACACGTGTATCGAGTTGTATGACGAGCTCGAAGTCGATATGTCACGGAGTTCATATGTCGTCGATGTATGTATGTATGTATGTATGTATGTATGTATGTATGTATGTATGTATGTATGTATGTATGTATGTATGTATGTATGTATGTATGTATGTATGTATGTATGTATGTATGTATGTATGTATGTATGTATGTATGTATGTATGTATGGCATCACGATGGTCATATCTGCCTACATTGAAGGATATGATCGGTTTTGCACCTGGATGCAAGGATGTTGCGTGAAACACCGGATTGATCTTGTCGTGTTTGTGTATCCATGTGTTTGTGTGTGCATGCGATAGACAAGGGCGACGCACGTCGTGTGGTCGTCGAGGAGTTCAAGGTCGAGTTCCGTGAAGACGGACGCGAAGACATTGTGTACAAATTGTCAACGCCTGAAAGTGTCGAACGGATGCATGCGACGCCTTTTGTGCTGACGGAGAGCTGTCAGTACCGCTTTGTCATTTCGTTTCGAGTCAATGGGACCATTGTGAGTGGGTTGCGCTTTTGCAATCACGTCAAGAAGGCAGTGGCGGCCACACGGGACGAAATCGTGTTGGGGTCGTACGCTCCACGATCCGAGAGCTACGTGTTTGTCTTTCCTCGTCAAGAATGGATAGAAGCGCCGTCAGGGCTTTTCTATCGTGGCAAGTACACGGGCAAGTTCACGTTTGTAGATGATGACCACGTCAAGCATCTGGAGCAGTTGTACACGTTTGGTACGTTTTTTGATTGCGCGAAGGCAGATAGATCGTTGTATGGCGGAAAGAGAGTAGAGAAGACTGATACGTGCCTGGCGGCTATATGACACAGAGATCAAGCGAGCCTGACGTTGGGTCCTTCATTTACACTCTGCATCTTCGTGCTATTCGTCAAGTGGTAAGTACTGCTTGGATGGACGCGTCTTGCCAAGGCAAAGATAAACGAAAAGCTAGTGCTGCTGTGACTGGATCATGATGTGTCGACGAGGCAGTCTACCACCTCGATTTTAAGTAAACAGTCCGTCTTATGCCTCCCCAATCAACAATGACACCGATACCATAGCGCACCCATCTACTGAGCTGGTCAACTTAGGGTACACCCGACTCTTAGCAAATATAGGTGGAAGGCGAGTTGGGCACAACCAGCATCGACGGCGGTTCGTTGTCTGCTTTTCGATAGATCAGCTCAACGCTTCCTCCCATCGTGGCCACCGATTCTTGACGTACAGTCAAAGCAAAAGACACGTTTCGGCAGTACACGTCAACACGCCCGACTACGGTTATACGCATCCGCTTGAGCTGCATTAACTTCGACGCGAAACGATTTCATGCTCCAATGGAAAGCCAGCGCCCGACAGCAAATGCCAACGTCGAGCATCTCGTGCCACTCCACGCGACTTCTCTATCAGCAAACTTCTCTACTTGCCATCATTCTTCTTCTTGTCCACAACGTCGTCGACATGTGCAAGCCACGGGTGTGCCAGGCATTCATTTGCTGTAGCACGCTTTGACGGCTCGTAGCGCAGCATGGGACTCAGGAATGATGCTAGACATTCTGCGTCAGCGCGCGAGAAGCGATACTTCTCGATAAGCACTTGCTGCAGGCTCCAATACTTGAGGTTGCGAATTCGTTTCAGATCGCCCTTGCGGTTGAAAAAGTCACGGGAACCGTGCCGAGACCCGGTGATGGACTTCGGCATTCGACCGAGCAATTCAATCATTTGCGCCAAGTGGTCCTCGTCGCGATTGAAGTTGCGGCCATGTTTTGGATCAAAAAGCAAGTCTCCTGTCAGCAGCTCAAACACGAAGCACGCCATGGACCAAATATCTGCCGACGTGTCGTAACGTTTGCCCAGGATGACCTCGGGACAACGGTACTGGCGTGTCTGGATGTCGTCCGTAAAGTGTTTCGTGGTCCAACACGCATTGCCCAAGTCGCAGATCTTCGCATTGAGCTTCATGACGTCAAACAGTTCACCATTCGCGATCTCGTTCAAACGCGAGGCCCAGCGATCCAGTCTTTGTCGAAGCGGCATTACCTCCAAAACGCTTTCGAGGGAGTCTACCAACGCTGCAAAATTCATTCCTTGTATGATGACGTCGGCAGCAGGATCGCTTTTGCCCGTGTCCGTGTCATTCACCACGCGCTCGATATCCTGGTCACCAAGTGGCTTGGGTAAGAAGAACCCAGGAAGCGCAAGACCAGAAGAAGGCGCGATGTTCAAGAAACTGAGACCTTCAATGCGATGTTCCAGATAGTCTAACAACATAGCGACAAGGCGACGTCAGCACAAAGAGACACGCAAGGAAAGCAGCACTAGGTACGCACATAGCACAGCGTGCGTGTATCTTGCATCAAACTCGAGTCTCCACACACGATACGCCCCTTTTGTTGTCGAGGCAACTTTGTGGCCACACAGTCCTAACACCTGTTCTTCCATCGACTGCATCACATCGTTATCCACGTGGTCTAGATATCGTAACACGAAGGATGTCTCCACAGCTTCATCGTCCTTTCCGTGATCGCTTGCGTGATCAATTGGTGATCGCGTTGACTCTGCGGCCACACTCATCGTGAATTCACGCTCCTTTTGCTTCGAACCAGCAACACGACCCTCGGGGAGCAGCAGCATCACCCGTGCCGCAAATTCTGGAGGTATATGTACCCAATCTCTTTCTTCTTCGTTGCCATGCTCTCCCACTTGTCGATACCATATCCGCGTCACGTCGGACGATCCGGAAGTGCAATCAACTGCATGTCCAGCAAAGTTGGACTTGAAGGTTTCATCGCATGGTGAAGTGTCGTCGGTGCGAGTAGAGAACGCGAGTTGCGACAGACTATCTCTCAAGCTATTGACAGAGGCGTCATCAGCGGTAAGACTGAGGCGTGCAGTGCTATCCACTTTGTTACTTGCAATACCACCATCGGTAGAAGCTTCCCGTCCAGCTCTCTCACACTGTTTTCGCTGCTTTTGCCTCTTCTTTTTCAGTCGGTTCTTCAGACGCTTCTTCTCTTCTTTCGACACTTCAGCGCTACCGGCAGTAGAGGCAACAGCTCCGTTGGCAACATGACCGGTCAATTTGCATTCGTCTCGAGCAACGCCTGCATTCTTTCCACGTCCTGCAAGCCGCGTCGCACGGAACTCGTCCCACTGTGTCTTGCGAATTTTCGGGAGCTGCGGGATATGATGCGTGAGCAACACGTTCTCGGGCTTTAGGTCAGTGTGAATGATCTTGCACTTTTCGTGCAAGAAAGCCAGCCCTTTCATCATATCCCTCGTAAGACGCTGGACCAGCCGCAACGGCACTCCCTGGTAGTTATAGTACTTGATGAGGGTCAGCAAGTTGTCCCCCATCATCTCGAATACCATACACACGTGCAAGCCATTCGGCCCTTTGTGCTCGAACGAGTCGACCAGACGGACCACCTTGATGGCCTCCTGCTGCTCCATTGACTCCGACTGCGCCTCTTTTGCCGCACGTACTGTGCACTCCAGCAACTCGATCTCGTCTCGCGCAGCGTCCGTGTAATGTCGAGCACTCTTCTGCACTTTCAAGGCAACAGTAGCTCCCGTCTCTCGGTCCAAACACTTCCACACCGTCGAGAAATGTCCCCACCCGAGCTTTTCCAGCACTTCGAACCTCGCGTTGTACACTTCACCGACTTCGACGCGGTGGTAGCCACCCGTTTTGTAGCTACTTTCCCCTTCGTCCTCGCTCTCGGACGAGTACTCGTCGTCTCCAAATTCCTCCTCTTCTTCTTCTTCTTCTTCTACTGCTCCGTCGTCTTTGTCGCCTCCTCTTTCCGCTGCAGAGCCACCACTGCAGGGCGACAACGAGCGATGCGCAGTCGAATTCGAGCCAGTTACACTATGAAATGATCCCGACACAGTCTCGTCCAGTGCTTTTTCCAGACTTGACGACCGAGTCGCTGCAGCTACAGCAGGAGGTACTACAGCAGCAGCAGCAGCAGCTCCATGTCGTTTCTTCTTCTTGCGATGACGCGTCTTTTTAGCCACCGGCAAATGCCCTTTCGTCGCGGTCGCTGTAGAGCCCGAAGCGTACATCGAGAAACAAACAAATAAATAAATGAGTAATTATAATAAATAACGAAACAATCAATAGCATCGCTTGTTTATGAGGTAGTAAAAGCAGTATAAGACGCGACGAAGAGTCATCAACATGCAGATCAATTGATATATAGATAGATAGATCGACAGATAGATCGACAGATAGATAGATCGATCGATAAACGTACCGCTGGATCGAGTATCCATAACAGCAGACTGCACGGCAGACGCATCCATGGCACTTGAGACAGACGTAGCACGACAACGTCTCGCCCGCTCACTGGACGTGGGTCGATCAGACGGACTCGGAGCCTTTCGTTTGATGGTGCACACAAACGACTAAATTTGCGCATCTGAGTCCGTCGTCTGATCGCTGATTAACGATCATCCAATCACTGGATAAACCAACAATCGAGACAAAAAACAAGCTCGCTTTTATTTAATTCACTGCGCCGCCTGCACCAACCGCAGCAGCAGCGTCACGACGACGCCCGACCGTATCGACCCTTATTGCAACAAACGTACCAGCTCCATCCATCCTGCACCCATCCAGCCAATCCATCCATCCAGCCTGCACCCGTCCAGCCAGCTCATGCAGCAGCCTAACTATGAATGCCAAGGTGCTTCAAATACTTAAAGCGCAAATCGTGCGACGAACGCGCGCGAGGAGACACGAGTACGTGTTTCTGCGACAACGAGAGCATTGGCATCGCCGATGATGACGTCGCGCTCGAACTGCGACTTCGCGCGCCTGGCGAGACACTGCCTTCCGACGCCGTAGCGGCCGACTCCATCTGCTGCCGCTGCTGCTGTGACTCGACCGTGCGCTGTCGAGCCTCCTCACGCGCCATGCCTTCGTTCTCCAAGAGCTCACTCTCGAGCTGCATCTCGTACTCGCGCTCCATCTCGTCGTACACGGCGTCGAGGTTGCGCTCGACCATGGCGATAAACTCGGCACGGGTGGGCCACATGCAGTCGCGCTGTCGCTTCGAGTAGTCCCGGTGCAGCGGAATGTAAAACAGCTCGGCCTCTTGGTTGAACTGCACGCCCTTTTGCCGCGTAGACGTCTCGCTCAAGTCGCCGACGCTCGACATGGAATGCCGTGACAGCGACGGCCGCAATTGCCTCGCGCTCCGCGACCGGCTCTTCTCTTTCCGCGAGCTCCGGTTGTCATTGCTCGCTGCGGTCGCGGGTGCGTACCAGCTCGCGATAAACTGGAAAAACCCGCCTTTGGCATCTTGGTCGTTCTTGCACTCCACGTCATTGAGCCGCACTTTGAGGCCGTCGCGGCGCTCCTTCTTCCGGCCCGTGCTCTTTTCCAAGTCGCTGCGGGACAAGCTAAACCCCAACTGGCTCCAGTACTGACGACGAATCGCGCCCGAGTCCCTTCGACGCAGCAAAGGGACGGCCGGAGCACGCACTGCCGTTTCCAAAGCAGAAGATGGACCTTCGACTACCGCTGGTGAAGCAGATGATGATGCAGATGATGATGATGGTTGTGATGGCAGTCGTGCCTCTGCTGACGCACGTCCATTGTCTCGAGTGCTCTCCGGACCATTGTCACCCACAGACAACGATGACAACGTGCTGCTTGGAGTCATCGCTGGGGCCAAGAGCGCTGGCGAGCTGCCACGGCGACGCGGGCGGCTCAGCATCGGACTCGGCATGGACGAGAGACTGCTCGTGTCGCGGCTGAGCAGCACCTTCTTGCCGTGCGTCTGCTTGCTCTTGCGCTGCCGCCGCGACCGTCGCCGTCGTTTTTCGTCCTCGACGGCCAAGTCGTCGACAGGACACACCTGCAGTCTCATTGTCATGGGCTTGACCAGCAATGCACTGGCACAAGAGCCCGTGTCCTTGTCTTCGTCCTCTTCTTCGTCTTCTTCGTCTTCCTCTTCGTCGTCTTCTGACGACGACGACAGCACCAGCGCGTGGGCGCCATAGTCGTCGTCCAGAGCGTCCGCACTCGAGTCCGAGCTGCTGCAGGAACTAGAGCGCGAGCGGTCGCTGCTGCTCGTGGTCGTGTCGCTCACGACACTGGCTTCCACCGGCACGGGCGGCGAGCTGCGACTGCACTTGGCCACGTCTTCCATGTCGGAGACAGCGGCCACCGCGTCGGCCGCTTGCACACCTGCACGCGGTTGCAATGAGCTGCTGCGCTGCATGTCACTTGCAATCGCCTTCTTCTCTCCCTATTTCTTCTTCTCTCTCTCTTCTTCTTTCTTCTTCTTTGGACTGCGTTCCTTCGACGCGAGCTGACGGGTTGTCACTATTAGTCGTAGAGCTTCGACTGGATAGTATCAGTAGCAGTAGCTGTCGTAGTTCTAGTAGTACTATTACTTGAGGAGGAAAAAGAACAATACTACTACTACAACTACTACTACGCTCTCTCTCTCTCTCGCGCGCGCGTGTGTGTGTGTTGTGGTTGCGGTTGTGTGCGTCGGGTGTTGTGACCGCGACAGAGCAATTTGGCGACTGACGGCCTTTTTTGTCGTTGAATTTTTAGTGTATGTTGGTCGGTGGTCTCTTTTGTCGGCTGGAGAAACAAACAGAGAAGAAGGAAATCAGTGGAACTGGCTACGTAACGGTCTCGTGTTGCAGAGGCGCTAACAGACTGACGGACGGACGGACGGACGGACGGACTGACAGTCAGACTGGGTACATTCCAGTAGCAGCACCATAGTGAGTTCAAGTGTAGAGCGGCTCGGACTCGACCCGTTGCCACGCGCGCGGACACGACTTCTCGTTCTGCAACACGCTCCGATCATTTACGTCCAGTCGCTGGATGTACGCGGTCTGCTCGGCGGCTGATCGATCGATCGATCGGTCGGTCGACTCGGAGCAGACCGTTGAGGTGCGTGGACCTGTCGCGTGGACAGGACGTCGCGGGCGGAGCTCTTGTAGCACGGAAGCGGAGACTGAGGCTGGCGAAACGCAAGAGAGTCAGTGGTGTCAGCGACACTGGGCGACGTCTCACGGCCACTTGACTGAACTTCAGCTTTGCGGGACTACTCGATCCCGTACACGTCTTTCGTGACGGTGGAATGGACCATACAACTTGCAAGTCAAGAGCAGTACCACCACCACAGAGCCTGTCGACAGTCACTACGGTCGCGTCAAACCCTTCCAGCAGCAGCAGCAGCAGCAACAACAGCAGCAACAAAGCTCGTGCGCGACTGTAAAGGACACTGACTGCTCTTTTTTCGCCCGCGCATCCACCGCGCACACCCACTCGACTGGCTTTGCAGCCTCATGTCCGGCTCGAACGGACTGCGGCAATATTTTGTCCAAAGCGACACGCTGTCATGCAGGCACAGCGAGAAGCGGATGCGCAGACAACCAGCTGCCGTCAAGTTGGATGGGCTCCTTACTTGTTCTCCCGCGAGGTCGAAACAATCTGTTCGGCTGATTGCATCTGCCCGGCGTCTGACAACGGCATGTTCGACCTCCGGACTGGATTCGAAGCAAGAACGACCAGGTGCACCCCGCCAGGTGAAATGCAGACGACGCCGGATCGCCCGTTCGCAAACCCTCGAACGAAATGGGAGCGACGTGGATCGAGTGCATGTCGAAACGGTGCTATTGACCACCGCTGGAAGTCAACCGGCAGCTTAGTCGCAACGCTTCCTTCTTCTCGAGCCGAGCGCATTGGCCCGTCAACTCGTGTTGTGTGTCATGATTCATGCTGCTAGACCGTCTTCGAGGCAAAGAGCGACCTCTGTCCTGGACACTGACCACGGCCATGCTCCGGTGTCGACGCAATGACGAGACAAGATCAATCCACAAAAAGTCGTTTCAACGACACGACCGGGGACATGTGTGTCGAGTTGAAGCAGCCACGACGAAGGCCGCCCGGATGCAGTGGCAGAGGGGACGCTCACGACGTTGCATGTTATGGCTGCAACGCGCACACGATCAACATTGTCGTTCAGTCAGACGAGGCAGGTTTCTTCCAGCTGCGAGCTGCCGGAGCGGCTGTAGCTGGAGGGCGTCGCAACAACTGCTCGAAACTTTTGCATCTCCTCGACACGGGAATTTTCAGATGAAGGGTGTCGTCATCGTACGATGAGTCGACCGCTCCTGTATTCTCCTACCTGATCCGGAAAAGGATCGGGCACATGCTTGCGCTCAAACTTGAGCCTCTTTCGACGGAAGGGATCCTTTTGCTTCGCGCTGGTAGCAGCTCGCATATCCCGTCCTTGTTTTTGTGATTCTTGCTGCTGTAGCCTAGCGATCTGATCGAACGAGACGAAGAAACACATTTGGTACTGGGTCTTGTGCTGGGCTGTTTGGGTCTCAGCTATAACGAGCAAGACTTTATGATGCATCCCGCTGCTTGAGACAGCCGTGAACAAAGACCGTCACGCCTCGAGCGAGCAGCAACTTCGATAGTAGTCCGCGGCTTGCCCGACACGTCGTAGTGTGCCTGTTTATGAGCAACGGTGTGTGCGTGACTACGCGTTGACACCATTGTGTATTCCACGAAAGACTGGTAGAGCCATCCTTTCGAACGGGCAGATGGCCCCGCAGCGATGAGTACACGAGCATCCCCTGCCGACGTCACGCTGATGGACCGGTGTCCCCAACTCGGACGAAAACATCGGTCCAGGGTCGCCTCGGACCGTCGACAAAGGCGATTTCACCAAAGTGGACATCCCCATCGCGGTCTCGAGCCCATGAATCCCGGTCAGACAAGAGACCGTATCCTCTCCAGCACAAATGCCAACTGTATACTGCGTCCTCCTCCCGCAGATACTCCTTACAGTGCTGTCGTGCAGGCTCCAGCCTCCAATTGTGCGGCATCGGGTGCTGCGCGCTGACGTAGATCAGTACTCATACGGCCATTTCCTGGGACGGGCAACGGTGTCCCTGGACAAGTAGCGTTGATGGGGCTAAAGTCCTTGCTGTCGCGCAGGTTACCCTTCCCATACAAAAGGCCGCCATCTTCGTCGTTCTCGACAGGCAACGACACGTCCATGTGCTGGGATCGGTAGATCACCACGCTAACGACAGCAACAGAAGCGATGGCTGCAGCTACACTGCCAATGACAGCGAGCCACACGGGCCAGCTCAGCTTGGACATCACGTACTCGTCGCTGTTAGCAAACTCCACGCTGGCGTCAAACTGCAGATACACGCCTTCACACGTACTGTTTGGCTGGTTCCGTGTCTGCAAGACATAGCACGAGCCAGTAGCTGTGCTTTGTGCTTGCGTTGGCAAAAGAGCTCCAGCTTTAGTTGACCATGGCACCGAGTACAGAAACGTTCCAGCTTTCATGTCCTTGGCACGAGAGCCATCGGCAATGAAATGGTACACCACGTCACCATCCATAGATCTGCTGTCCAATGGTGTACTCGTTGCGACCGCCGAGTCGGTGGTTTTCCACACTGCCAGCAGATTGCCACATTGCACAAGCCCACTGTGATGGAACATCTTGACTGCTAGACAGTCCATGGACTGACACTTGTGGCCTTGTTTGAAGTAGATCCAGTCCTGCGCGACATTGGAAGCGCTGAGGGAAGTGAGGTCCTGGTCAACTGCGCACTGTGTGAAGCGTCGAGAGAGTGTCGCGTTGCCCACACAGCGACGTCGAGTCCGTGCCTGGAAAATGGTCGAGCAGCCCACGACCGTACTCACGCACTCGTGGCCATTGGCACAGCTGCACTCTTGATCGTTGCAGAAGACGTCGTCGATCTGGATGCCTCCAGTGACGTCGCACACGTCCACCCCATCGCTCGCGTCGCTGCAGTTGCGGGCCAAATACCCACACGCGCTGCATTCGGATGCGTCAGCGGCTTCTGGCAGCGCTAAACACACGACACAGCACAGTACAAACGGGACCAGGAGATAGCTCTGCATGTTGCGCATCGGTTGAGAGGCGGATCGTCGGTGGCAAAAGTCGGTGGGCGTCAGGACGGGCTGCTGCTCTCGACGTCTGCCCGCGCGCTCTGGTGTGCGGACAAGGACGGCGATGTGCACTGACGAGATGGAGTGGCTCGACTGGGAGTGTGTTCCACACTGAATATGCGTTTTCGAGATACACCGACTTGATGTGGTGTACGCAATCGACCCCATGCGCTACGATGACGTCGCCGTGTTGACACTGCTGCTATACCGATCGCATACCGGTAGGATCGCTTTCGGCTACTTCACAAAGCTCGGCCTTGTCGATCGGGAAAGCGAGTGTGTGCACCACGAATCCGATCGCGCGATAGAGGCCCACAAGTTGCAGGAAGCGAATCGTGCGGGACGACGTCATGAAGGACGTGACTGGGTTTTTTCCATCCAATCAATGCGAATTGTGTTTTCCAATCGGTGGGTCATTGACTTTTGCGTCGTTGTTTACACTGTCTTGTTTCTGCATACCATCACTTGAGCACGACTGGCCACCAATCGAGAGCCAAATTCGGATCCGGCTTCAAGTTGACGACAAGTGTGTCGTACGGTGCTGCACTGCCGGGGACGCAAAGAGACAGCGGCGCACATTTTCTGGGAGTGCCCAATCGCGCAAGCGTGTTGGTCTCACTTGATAGGACACTGGACCGGTGGGGGTGCGACGAACGCAGTTCTTTCCACCTTCTTTCAGCACTGCGCCAATCGCAAAGCCCCGCCCATTCCACGTCAGCTGAGTTTGCGGTTGCAAAGCCGTTTTCAAAATGACTCTGACGCCGCAGCAACAGAATTCGAACGGATCTGGTTCATATTAAGCTCCATCTGCCAAGAACATTTGTGGACCGAGCGGAACTCGGCGGTCTTTCGAGGAGCCGTGACTACTCCATCCGCAAGTGTCCAAATGTACTGGACACGCGGTGTTCGCCAGCTACGGGCAATTGCAATACGCGAGCATCGAGCCGCGGCTACGGCCGTACGAGGGGCCCGACTTCATGCCTGTCTTGAACTTCTGCTTCAAGAGCCCCGTGGACACCCGCCCTACGCGGGTGTCAGCCACGATCCGCTGCCGCGACCGGCGCTCATATCCTGGCTCAGGATTTTTCAGACCTCTTGTCCACATTAAATATGTCAATAGATGATCATGAAACTCCTCCTCCAAGTTGACGACAAGTTGAGACCGGACGACCGCACGTGCGTCAACGAGCTGCCGCACAGCTGTTGCGCCTTTACGATCTCACTGGAACAGTTCTCGGTGTTCACTGACTGTTCGGTTCTATCCATCGTCGAGAGTAGGAGGACGGAGGTGCGTGTCGCACGATCGGTAGCTGCGTCTCTGTGGTGGACATTTGCTGGCGTCAATTGCCCTCTGGAGTCAGACATTCCCAAATTTTCACGGTTCAGCTCAAGCCAGTCTTTTTCCCTTCGGGGCAGTCACGTCGGAGGGAATCCTCCCCTTGGGGAGCCGACGTGGTCGAAGATCTGACGCGGGCACGCTGCACTCGCAGTCGCGGGTGTGGGCGTAGGAGACCGACGGGTCGCGCAAGCGGCCCTAGCAGGGGTGTTTTACGGACTGGAGGCGTACCCCGCGCCACGTGTCGCCGCTGCGGCGAGCGCACACTCCACGTCAAGGGGCCGCGCAAGCGGCTGAAGGGGGCCACCATCGCAGATGGTTGAGCTCCTCGGAGAGATATACGGCGGGTTGGCGTTCTCCACGCCACGCAGTCACTTCGGTGATCGCACTCCACGTCGGGGGCCGCGCAAGCGGCTGAAGGGGGCCACCATCGCAGATGGTTGAGCTCCTCGGAGAGATAGACGGCGGGTTGGCGTTCTCCACGCCACGCAGTCACTTCGGTGATCGCACTCCACGTCGGGGGCCGCGCAAGCGGCTGAAGGGAGCCACCATCGCAGATGGTTGAGCTCCTCGGAGAGATATATGGCGGGGTGGCGTTCTCCACGCCACGCAGTCACTTCGGTGATCGCACTCCACGTCGGGGGCCGCGCAAGCGGCTGAAGGGAGCCACCATCGCAGATGGTTGAGCTCCTCGGAGAGATATATGGCGGGGTGGCGTTCTCCACGCCACGCAGTCACTTCGGTGATCGCACTCCACGTCGGGGGCCGCGCAAGCGGCTGAAGGGAGCCACCATCGCAGATGGTTGAGCTCCTCGGAGAGATATATGGCGGGGTGGCGTTCTCCACGCCACGCAGTCACTTCGGTGTTCGCACTCCACGTCGGGGGCCGCGCAAGCGGTCCTAAAGGGGTTTGTTGCCTTATATGGCAGCATACCCGCGTTGTACGTGCTGCCGCTCCGGCGGTACGCATGTCCCCAGTCTACTTGGTCGCGCCAGCGGTCATGATTGACTCGTAGTTGGCTTCGGTAGGAGGGTCTCTGACCTCGTTGCCGTCGCCCCTGGCTCTACGGAGCCCTTTAGTTGTCGACCCGATACCCGGGCCGTACTTCTTGTCACACTTATCAGTCGTTAGTTATCATAATAATGGACGTACTTGACACCACCACCCTCTGGAGTCAGACTGGAAAAGGTCCTCACCATCGCGAGCGTTTGCTCGTTCCCGTCAACGTGAGTCTGGCTCGAGATCGAGACTGAAGCCTCCATCGTGCGTGGCTGCGGATCGGACAGCGCTCACAGCAGCCACTTGCTCGCGCGTGTGAAGGTTCAGTGCTGCCACTCTGTCCGGTCAACAACTGGATCGAACGGAAGAGAAGCGGGTTCAGATTGTACGATCTTGCACGCCTGTTCGTGATGGGGCCGTCACGATATGTGGCAACGGTGCGGCCTTCCTCTGTGTCCATCAAAGAGGAGTGGACAGATCATGTCCACATGGTACTGCGCGACAAGTCGATCCGAAAAGACCCTTTCGATGCAATGCAAAGCGCACCCACCGGTCTATCGATGTATAACAAGCACTTGTGCGACAATGAACGATGCGTGGGGGGCGTTTTTTTTGTCACATTTATCAGTTTTTTTTTATTATAATAGGGAGGTACTTGACACCACCAATGAACGATGCGTGAGGAGCAGTGAGTGCGAGAAGAGGGAATGCCTGTAGAAGAATCGTGTTGATCTGGTCAGCAAACCGCCCATCGAGAAAACGGTGCTCACGCTGCATGCGCGAAGGAAATCGCCGGCCAAGGCCCAACATTGATGGTGCATCACCCGCTTCGCATTGAGATGTTTTACCATAGCTGACGGACGAATGAGCTGGAAACAGCGAAATTACTGGAGGTCGAGGACGCCATCAACGTCTTTGCATCGCATAAAAATCGACAGGACTGCGCCACTTCCTTGCAATTGTCACAACAATACGGCGCATGCACCCCATGCAAAGCTGCGTATCGAGCTTGATTCGTGTCAGGAGTACGGTCCAAGTACTTCGGGAGTCAGCTCATCGAGGAAAGAAAGACCTCCACGTCCTCCGTGTCAAGCGCGTCAAACTCTTCTTCACTGACCACTGGCTGTTTCTTCGATTTGCGCTTGAGGTTGTAGCGATGCCATTCGGAACGAAAGTGTTCTCGGCACTTGTTCGCATCAGTGCCCAAGTCGCCGCCACATGTACTGCACGGCCGTGTCTTCTTTGCCTCCATGGCGGCAGCTGAGGCTGGCGCTGGCGTTGGTGCAGGTGCAGTGGCAACAGCAGGAGTAGCACGTGACAGTCCAAGTCGTTCCGTCTTTTGCGAAATCTCATCGTCGATCGTGTGTTCGCCCTCCTGGTGGCTCTTCAGATCAATCACTTCCAATGAACCTTGGCCAGCCGTGTGGTCCTGCACGAGCGAATTGACAACACGGTACGACCCCGGCGTGATGAGCATCACCATCCGCACCGTGTCACTTCCCGTCTGCTCGACAATCTCCGCGCCCTCCTTCAGCAGCTCCGTCTTGATCACTTTTGCACCCGACGCTGGCGTCGTAATCTGGATCTTCATCTTTGCACGTGCTAACGGAATGTGCTCGGGCAGCTTCTTCATGAGCTCGAGTGCCTGCTGCTTGGCGCTGCGATTCGGGATCACAGCATAGTGGATCTCCTTCATCACACGCTCGATCACAGTGTACGGATACGGCCGATTCGACGCAGGGTTCACGCACTTGTCGGCAACGATCGTCGCAATGTCCCGATACATACTGCCACAGGCGAAACAACAACAACAACAACGACAACAACAACAACGACAACAACAACAACGACAACAACAACAACGACAACAACAACAACAGCAGCAGCAACAACAACAACAAACAACAACAACAATACGTATACAAATGAACAATAGCAATACATGACAACATCAACACAGCAATACAGGAAAAACAACAACACATTAACCAATCGATACAAAACGCGTTTCTCGGTGCGAGGAACACGCGCGATAACGCAAAGCAGTCGACAGCGTGCGTACTTTTCGACGAGGGCTTTGCGCTCGCCCTCCGAGACCTGGAGCTCGCCGTGGTCGAGGATCGCGCGACACGCTTGCGCCTCGGTCTGCACGCCAAAGGCCTGGGCCCAGTCGCTCTTCTTGGCGAAGCGGCCCTTGGACACGTTCTCGTAGACTTTAGCGATCTGCAGCACCTCGTCAATGTCGCCCTCGACGCCGTGGCGCCAGTTGAACACCTTGTTCTTGTAGCACGCGATCTCGAAGCGCTTGCCGCCCTTGCGCATGCGCACGATGGCCACGTTCGTGAGCACGATCTTGCCCACGGGCTGGCCAATGCGGCCGCTGCTCATGACGGTGCGTTTTTTTCGGTCGCTTTTTATCGGTCGCTTTTTTCAGTCGCTTTTTTCGGTCGCTTTGTTTTCCGTGCAAGACCACGGGGTGTCCAGAAGGGCAGAGAGTTGTGTCCGTGGACGCAACGGCCAGCTGCAGACACAACGGTTCTGTCCGTGACGGTACTGCTCCGTCTCGCCCCGCGACCAGTGGGTTGTTCTCAACAGTGATGGATCGGTTGGTATCACTATGTAGAAGTGCCAGCAGCGCGCAATTCGGGGCGCGTCAGGGTTGACAGGTGTTTGACCAGCCATTGCACATGGCCGCCTTTTTTTGTCGCATGCACCAGTGAAACCCACACCGGCCCTGGACATAGACAAGGCGCAACCGAAGAGCCACGGGCAGACGTGACGCCGAGCGCGCGAGATGGTAAGGCCGCATAGCCGCCCGGCCACGTTCGTGTGACAGCCCGCGGAGTTGCTGTTCTGCAATGACATGACGAGCAGTAGTACCCCACTTCAACACGCAGTGCGTTGCAGCATCGTTTAGCACTGGCGCACTGTCGTCGTGCTCTTCGTCCGGTTGAACTCGCGCACGCGCGATGGATCGTGGTGAGAGGTACGTCTTGGTCGTTACTCCCCCCCGTCCATCACAATGGGCTGCGACACCAAATGCGACGCTCCAGCGGACAGCTCACTTTCTGGTTCCTCTCGAGATGTCTCGCAGCGACCAGGAGAGCCGCGAGCAGGAAGAACGACTTGTCACACGTCATCGGCTGACTCAAAACCATGTGATCGATCCGGGGATAGCTGTCAGCGACGACGGGGTCGATTGATCTTGACGAGAGGAGAGGAGGAAGGTCGGACACACCCACACACCCACACACCCACCCACACCCCACCCACGAGAGGTAGCTGGTGAGCCCTTTGTCGGCCAGTGAAAAGTCAATGTGCTGCCATCAGACAGTCTGCTGTATCGAAAATTCAGCACGTCACTTGCCACACGTGTCACGCGGTCCACCGGTTGTTCGGGGGAAAAGGCCGTGCGAGTCGCCTCTGTTTCGACTGAGCACTACTCACTGCAGCGCTGAGGACGAAGACAGGCAGGTCCTATGGCAACGGCGTGCGTGCGTGGTTCACGCTGCATCGCGTGTCTTGTGATCGGGTCGCGTCCGATTTGCAGACGACGTGCGTCGTGTCGCACGAAGCCAGCGCGAAAACTCGATGCTTGCTACGCGGCGACAGGGGATGGGAAGCTGTAAGTTGTCGTGGGGTTTAGCAAAGACGATCTGTTACAAAGTAGAACCCGCAAGTTCGTCCGTCCGTCCGTCCGTCGTGAGCCTGTCGACTCGGCGTCCTTGACGCGACGACCACTGTGGCCGGACGACGACTTACGTATCGTGTGGACTGTGTGTGACTGACCTCAACGAGCCAAAGTCGACTGGTTGCATGATCGGCGCAAGTAGACCGCGTGCTCAGTATGTCGGGCACACGGATATTGCGTTCGAGCGTAGTGCACTCACACGCCCTCTGTCCAGCAATCGACAGCGCTCCCTACTTTATATGTAATGCTCGTCATGCTTACTGCAACCTGACCCGACAGCTGCGGCTAAAGGGGCGCGCACGCACGTACGCGCGCACATACGCTGACCGTCTCACGCCAACGGCCATACAGACAGACGGACAGACGGACAACGTCAAGTATACTACCATCGACAGGCTCACGGCGCTTGCCACATGTCACGGCCACGTGGCCGACATCGTTACCAATAAGTGTGCCACCCGTTGCGCAAGCAGCAGCAGGGCTTGCAGCTCCCCGTGAAAAAAGGACCGGGCAGGTCGACTGGGTCAGCTGCCCATGTCGGTGTTTCGACTACGCGCGCGGCTGAATACGGCGCTCCTGCGGCAGCTGAGTCGAGAACGAATCGAGACCATGTCCTGTCGCGCCCAGCTTTTTTCACATGGTTTGCGTCGGTGGCTGGCTGTAAACGTGTGTGAAAACGTGCCGCTTGCCTCGAGGGTCGCTTCGTTTGCCCCGCACGAGGTCCAATGTCCTGCCCTCTCACTGCAACAACATCCCTTCGTACCGCTCGTCTGGTGCAGGGAGCTTCTTGACCCTTTTTCTACATGCAGCAGGCATAGAGGCGTGACGCTGGACGCTGGACGGCCCACTAGCCTGCACGTCGAGACGTAGAAGGCCGCCCCGAGCATGTGGACCAGCCGCGTGTTTTTGCGTCTGCTCCGTTCGCCTCGATAAGATTTTCTGGCGGAGCCTCTGTGTCACGCTATTCTCAACGGCTTCGCGGCCCAACGACCGGAGAGCGCGTTGTTGTGGTGCTTCCAGGGCACATGACATGCGCGTTCGTCAACTCGTTGCTGCTGCGTGCTGCGGCCGACGACCGCGAGCAACTTTACCACAACGACCGCCGACCAACAGAACGACCCGATCGTGCGGGTATGCGACTTGGTCCCGATATCGTCACATCAGCAGATAGAACAACACGGAGAAGAAGAAGAAGAGGCAAAAAAGTCGAGAGAGCGCAACTTCGACGTGCGGCACCCGCGTCGGTCGTACTCGCGCAAAACGTGTGGCCGACCCGAAAGCGATGCCACAAACCGATCCGTACGAATCACGCGCGTCGTGTCGTTGTACCGCTTAGGTGCGACGTGAGAAACGCAGCTGTCGCGGATGGCGTGGATGGGGCAGGCAGACAGGCCGCGGCGCTCGGCTCTTGGCGAATGTATGCCGCATACAAACGCCGAGCCACTGCGCGGCGTTTCAGCGCTTTGTGCCGTCCAATCGCTCGCTCGCCCACTCACCCACCCACTCACTCACTCGCTCGCTCCGTCCCGACTGACCACCGACCCCCAAGAGTTCCTGCCGTCCTTCAGCCGCAAACACCGACGCGCCCCAGCGCTCTCATTGCCCGATTTTCCACCGCCCGACTACCCCAAAAACAGAGCCACTCGACTGTCTTTTGCTCGACCGATCGATCGATCGCTCAATTGCTCTACCGACTGACTGTCCACTCACACACACACAGAGTATATTTTCTACCGGCAGCAGCCACAGCCTCTTCCTCCATGAGCTTCTCCTGCGTCGTGCCCGTCTCACCTGCCGCTGCGCTCAAGCGCGCGCGCAGCGCCGACGACGACCTGCGGCTCTTGAAAGCCAGTAAACACGCGCGCGAGGCGTCGCCCCACTCGCCTCGCGCGGTCGCCGCTGCGATGGTGGCCCAGCGCAAGCAGCAGCTCCTGCTCCACCACCACCAGATGCAGCAGCAGCGCCAGCTCCAACAGCAACAGCAGCAGCAGCAGCAGCAGCGACAGTACCAGCTCCAGCAGCTACGCCAGCAGCAGCAACCGAGTCAACAACAGAGCCCCTCGAGTCAGCAGCAGCATAGCCACCCATCGACGACGCAAAACTCGTCGAGCGACCTCTCGCCCTTTGTGCTCGCGTGCAGCAACATCCGCTACGCCATCACGTTTATCCAGAACTCGCGCCGCCACGCGCTGGCTCTGTGCCTCCAGAACCAGTGGGAGCGCGCGCTGCTCGTGCTCGAGAAGATTGAGCGCGCGAACGACAAGATCTCGCGCCAACGCCGCATCAAAGTGCGCGAGACGGCCAATGCCAATGCCGACCGCGTGTTCGACGCTCAGGCCATGCCGAGCCACTTGCCGCAGGTGCCGAGCCCGGTCAAGATGGCTGCCAGGCCCAAGCGCCAAGTGCGCTTTAGCAACAAGGTGCAAGTCGCCGAGGCCGGTGTGGTCGACCGATCGCCGGCGCCTATGCCCGTGCTCATGCGCGACGAGATTCTCGTGCTACGGGCGTCGCGACCGATTCCGCTGCGCAACTTTTCCGAGTTCTGGAGCTGTTCGTCGTAGAGCGAGCGGGCGGTTTGTGTCGGTCGATGTCGCCTCTTGTGTACCCCACTCGTCGTCTTCTTCTTCTGCTCGATAGCTGTGCTGTAGTCGGTAGTTTGCTGTACCAATGAGTCTCTTTGTCTGTAGTAGAACACACTGTGTGTATTATTTATCGCCAAGACATGGCAAGCGTAACGTGAATACATACCACTGATTGATTCAACATGGCTTCAGTTCTATCTCTTCCCTTTAGCTCTCTCGTCTTGTACGCCACCACCACCACCAGCAACACCACCACTACGACAGCGTTTGTTTCTGCGTTGCTGCTCTCGGTCGACAACGTCTTTTTGCACGCGCACGTAGTGTTGCTAGCAGCCCAGTTTTATCTTCCGTCGAAGAAACGCTGGCACACGCGACTTGACGCTTGCAGCGACTTGGCTGGCATTGTACCGCGCAGAGAAGTGGACGAGCACGAGGGCACCGACTTGCCTGAAAATCTGCGCGTGGGCCGCGAGCTGAGGCAGAAAAAGAGAGATCAGCAAAAACTGTGGATTAGTCGTTGGCACTCGACCATATGCGAGCAAGTCAGTCGGAAGCCGCAGGTAGCGGCGGCACAAGACCATGAGATTGTACAGTACACACCTGATCAAGGTGGATGTGGCCGCGGTCCACAGCGTCTTGGACTGTCATTGCAGAGTCCACGTACGTGGCCTAGAACCGTCCATTAGAACAACAACGACAACAGAGCTTAGTGCAACCTGCGCAGTCGGACGTCTCCTGCCACACTGTCCAGCTTCTCACCTCCGTGATGAGCACCTTCGCACGCAGCAAATCCATGGTCTGTTCGTCGTCCACCGCTCTCGTAAACGTCTCGATGGTCGTATCGCCCGTGTACGCAATCTCGGGCGTCACCTCGACACTGCTGACGTCTGTGCCTGCCCGCTTGAGCGCTGCAATCGCCCGGCCCGACAAGTGCTCGTACGCTGGCTTGAGCTTGCTCTTCTTCTCGTAGACAATGTAGCCCAGACTCGGCACGCGGTGCGTCGTGGGCACTGCCCGCACGACCAACTTGGGCGAGAGCTGCACTTCGTCAAAGGCCTCGAGCGGCACAATGCGGACGGGAAACGCCGCGTCGTCGCCCTGCATTGCTCGCGCGCTCTGCAGCATGCGCTCCAACGGATCGACAAGGTGCGTTGGTACGTAATACTGCGCCGGCGGTTGCCGCCGAAGCGCTCGTTGCGCTGCATGCGGTACAATGGCCCCAATGTGGTCCACGTGGCCGTGCGTGATGAACACGTGCGACTTGTTCACGACGTGGTCAATGAGGCAGCCGAGATCAAAGGCCACGTCGATCGAGTCCACGTAGCAACAGGACTCGATGCCGGCAATGCTACGGACGCGCAAAGTGTAGCCACTAGCGTCCACGCGTTTCGGCGTTGCCATCAGTGGTTATGGGCTGCAGGCGGGCGGTGCGCTGCCATCCACTCGACCCAAGATCGGTGGTCAGCAGACGATTGCGCAATCATCGCCCCAGCAGCTACGCGGCCCACGTGACGCGCAGACCCCTAGTCCGCCTGCACCTGTAGAAAGGACGGTCCACGACCGACTTGCACCTGGCCAGCCCCACGGACGTACATCGCCGGGACGGACGCTGTCGTCGTACTTACGGCCGTGTCGGATAATCACATGGACAACAACTGCTCTCTCTCTCTCTCTTGGGCGTGTGGTCGGCTGGCCATGTGGCAACAGGTACGAGACGTCTCGTGCGGTTTGGTGCAACGCTTTCGAAAGCCGACGAAAAGGCCATTCCGATCGGTACGAGACGGCTCACCCGTTCGTTCGTGCAAAGCGCAGCGACCCGACCCCGTGCGACTCGATTGCCAGTTTTATGGCGTGTCGTAATCACACCTGCGCGCCGTGGCGGGCGCCATCAGGGCACGTGTTTGTGTGTGTGTGGGTGGGTGTGGGCTTTCTCCGGCTCCATCGAGCCAGCAGCTCTTGCTGGAGAGCAGCACGTCTCCCTCGAGCGAACGTGACGGGGCGCGCGTCCTGCTGGGTCAAGTGCTGGGCTTCTGCGCCACACCTACGCGCGTGTTCGTTCGTCATTGAGTCGAGCAGATTGGTCAGCGTGCAGCGACATGTTTGATGGCCGCAACGGCTTTCTCTCTACAGAGCCAGAAACACACGCGAGACAGCGAGTGGTTTCGTCGTGTTGTGGTTGAAGACAGTGTTCGTAACACATGCGGAGAAAGGCAATGGCGACCGCCAACATGTCGCGCCTGACTCAGCTCCATACATCTATCTCCCTAGCGATCCAGTCAGCTCTACTTGAGGGAAGTAAAGCCACAGCGTTGTTGAGTGCGATCGATCGAGCGAGCGCTCTTTGTATCGCAACGAAACCGACACGAAGGCAGCGCAGGGCAAAAAAGCTGTCAACGCTTGCATCGACTGCTTCTCGGTCCGGATAAATACTGCAGTATGACGACATCCTTCGGCTTCGATCGACTCGTTCGTTGTCACGCTCGCGACTCAATGCGAGTACAGGAGCCGAATGAATGCGCTGCTAAGCGTTCGGCCTGTTTGAATGGTCCATTTCAATCGAAATACCATCAGGTCGAGGCGATGAATACCATCCGTCATATGTCTGGACGCGATCTATGCACCTCTGCACGCCGCAGCAGCTGCGTGCGCATGACTGGATTTGCACCCGTCTTCGCGGCTCATAGCTATGGGGAAGACAGCAATACGCTGGAAACGGTCCATGACAGTGATGGCCTTCTTCTGCTCGAGCACTTTTCGATAGCTGCTTGGCGATCGATCGAGTGCCCATCGCGCTGGAACACGCCTTTGCCCACCAGGCTGTGGGAATCATAGCCGAGCTCTAAGCACTAACGAGCAACGCCGCAGCGAACGCGTGCAGAAAGTGTCTCCCATGCAGCCAATTGCCGCTCTTTGTCACTCGATAGCCTCCCTCGTCAAGGAAACCCACAGAAGACAGGCCGCGTAAGCGCTCATGGATCGGGTCGGGAACGGTCTGCTAAAAAATTGCCCATGCCAGTAAAAGGGTACAACACAGCGTACAGAGTTTCGGAGGGCTTGTGCGTCGTCTTCGTGTTTACTGTACTGCCTCGCCCTGTGCATGTGACTTCGAGTCAACAAATATACAATATGCCTGTGCACATTACGCCTTCCACCTCTCAGTCCACCAGCACGTCCAAGAAGTCGCCAAACGTGTTAAATAGTGACGACGCTTCTTCACTGTCGCACAGTCGCGTCAACAGCGAAAGACCCGACTCGGCCAGCGAGTTTGACTCGTCCTGTGACAACAGAGCGCTTTCAACCACTGCGTCCGTGCGCTCTGCGGGACGATGTTCCTCGCACCGATCGTCCACGTTGTCCACATATTCCCACTGACGAGTACGTGTCGCTTCATCGCTCTCGCTTGGCGCGTTCAGACTGCTTTGCTTGGGTGCAACATGAGCCACGCCGTCCACCACCTCGTCCGATACGTCCGCCACGAGCACCACTGCATCCAGTATCTCGTCCAACGATGGCACCACGTTGTACGCCTCCTTCAGCACGTGCACGACGCTCGTGATACCAGTAGCAGTGCTCACGGATGCTGCAGCGCGATGATAGTTTTCGCCATCCAGCGACTCGTGCAGCACGTCATAGCACAGCAACAAGCTGTCGTGCGCTGCTTCGCTGTTGACTGTCTCGTAGATCCATTTCAGGCAGTAGTATGCATTCTGCGGTCCCAGCACTTGCACCAACGCCTTGACGGCGGTCCGTGTTTCCTTCACCGCATCCTCCTCGGACAACAACTGGTCCACTGCAGGCACAAGCGCCTGCACCATACGGTACGCCGGTACGGCAATCGCATACGACAGCGCGTTCACCGACGCGTTGCCAGTGACGTCCATGCCCTGCCACAGGGCGTGCGACACGGACGGAGGTACCACGTGGCCAACCGTCCGCACCGACGCGCCCACCGCGTCCACCAGTGTCGACGCCGTGTACGACACAGTCGACACGGCGCCGTGTTTCATGCCCATCGCCACGTGCCGTCCCGTCCTCGAGGCAGCACCCGTAGACGCCAGTACGGCCGACGTCGCCAGCGCGTGCGACGCCGACACAGCGCCGGCGATCTTTCGCCCGCTGTAGACCGCCACTTGGGTCGGAATCGCTACTGCAGTTGAGACGCTGCGGTAGAGCAGTCGCACGGGCACATAGAGCAGCGACTGCGTCCGTCCGCTGCGCTCGTCTCGAGCGCCGTCTACTGCTCTGTCTCTGTGCGCCTCGCGTTCCCCGCCACGTGTCCTGCTCAACGTCGCACTTAGGTGTGACTCGTCGCCATCGCGCGCCTCGTCGTTCTTGTCCGCGTGGCAAGCGCCCGTCCACGACTGTGCAATTGTGACACGAGCGTGACGTGTCCACTGGACTGGCGCCGACAGTGCGGCCGACGTGGCGTGTGCGGCCGCGTTGACGCACGGCACGAGCACCAGAGTCGCAGCGGAGGACGCTACGCCCAGTGTCGTGTGGAGAACGGAGCGCTGGCTGACGGGGGGCGGGAGGGGGACGAGGAGCTCAGTGGACGTCGTCTCGAACGCGTCCGTGACGAGGCACGCGGTGGTGACGTTGTCGTCGTCGTCGCCGTCGCCCATTACTGAACGGATGGATTGACTGACTGACCGACTGCCTGACCGACTGACTGACCGACTGCCTGACCGACTGACTGACCGACTGACTGATGGACTGATGGACCCCTGATGGACTGATGAGAATGTGGGCGGAGCTGCTGGTAGTTTGGGACGATGGGTTCACAGTTGGAGTGATGAGGTGACGAGGCGGTCGTGGCGGTGACGCAAGTGGGTCGATGGTGGTATACCGTCGAGGGTGGAGGGCGTGACGAGAGGGCGTCGATGGCCAGTGAGACCGTTGTGGTTGGCCATTGCAGCAACGGTTGTTGTTGTTTGGTTGCGGTTACTGGTGTACTTGTGACTGCCAAAAGGTCGGATTCGTTTGGTGTTTGCGGTCAACCAACCGGTCACTCGACTCGACTGGACTGCATGACTGCATCACATGGATAGCTACGTACGTATGTGTATGTATGTATGTACGTGGTTGACGGCCAAGGTTTACGACAGGCACCAAGCGGCAGTGGTGCTTTGGTCACTCAGTCTATGGACCGACGTTGTGGTTGCAGTGGCGTTTGTACGAAGTGTACACTTTTTCCTCGTGATGGCGCTCGACGCAGCACTTTCGTGTCACGTCAGACTGCTTGCCTGCGAATGGAGCACACGGCCGTCTTGACATGGCCACACGCAGTGCCCCATTCGGAAAGCGATGATGGAATATGTCGACATGCATCGATCATCAATGGCTGGTCAGAGATGACAAACAACTGGATCGTGCGCGATTGTGCCAGATAGGAATGACAATGACGAGGGATCATCTTTCTACTTGGCGATGCCTTGCGATGCAATGGGTCCTGAAGTCACTTGCTTCGAGCGCTTTCGAGATTCGACCGACAGCACGCGACGTGCGGTCGACGAGCACACAGGTACCCGTGAGATCCGCTTTCGGTGATACTCCTTCAGCTACTCGGACCCATTCCGTCCTCAGCCACACCAGGCAGGACACTGGTGCCAGACGTCCGGTCTCTGGTCCCACTACTTCAGCCATCACTCACGCACACACGCACCCACACTCTCTATGCAGGTACAAAGCTGACACGTTTGTCTGTCCGTCTGTCAGTCTTCGTCCAATCAGCGCAACCTCACGCGCGTTTGCCCAATCATCTTTCACCTACGGTTAAGGAGCAGCCAGCCCCTGTCCGATTTGACAACAAGTGACGCATCATCGCAACAATGTCAGATTCCCACTTTGCATGGCGAAAGGGGTCGCGCCCTTCCTTTGCCTCACTCCGTCTGTGTGCACCTCACGCGAATGTCCAGCAGGCAAAAGGTCGCACGAGCAAGAAACAAAGCGAAAAAGAGCACAACACGTCCAGTCGACGCTCGCACTGCTATTGTACTTTGTGAAGTAGCCATTCAACAATGGCTTCGGGCGATACGTCGCTGCAGTGTCGAAAGCGACCCACACCCAACTCATTGATCGAACGAGCGGCGCCTGACGCGCGCGTTTGAAACGCTGCGACGTCTCTTTCTCTCCTCAGCCGCCCGCGTTTGCAACAATCGACCACCAACGCCATCGCCGCCCCCATCGCCGTCACTCGCCTTCCCATCCTCATCACTCACGAGATTCGCTCGCCGCCACTCGACCTGATTTCACCGCTTTCATACCATCATCCCAAGAAGAAGAAGAAGAAGAAGAAGAGCGAAGAAACCAACGAAAACAAAGAAGAAAACCCAGAGACACAGCAGCCGGCAGTGCTTCAAGTCGAGTCGCGTGTCCCCCGTGCTGATCCAGTCGGTTTCGCCGTACAGAAAAAGCGACCGCTTCCTCCGCCTCCCTCTCGTCCTCCCTCGCCTTCAAATCCGCCCACCGACTGACTACTGCATCCCAGCTGGCTCAATCCCCGAAACAACGCACACTTACTCGCACTTACTCGCAGAACAGACAGACGGACCTCCTCCAACCCGACCAACAATAACCCACCACGCCGCCCTAGCCCCTGCCCCTGCCCCACCCCTGCCCCACCCCGCGCGCTCCCTAACTGATTGGCGCGTTTAACAGCACTTTTCGAGGCTGCGCATGTCTCGTCGTCGCCATCGTCTCCGTCTCTTGCGTCGTCCTCTTCGCTGCTGCTGCTGCTGCTGCTGCCCCTCCCGCCGCGCCGCCAGTCCCCCGCGCGCCCTCTCGTGCGGTCGCAATCGCTCGCTGTCTGGATGCAGCCGCGCGCCAAGTCCGCGTGCCAAGACGACTCGCCCCGCACGTCGAGCGTCAAGGACCTCGACAGCACGTCGTCGTCGTCGTACTTTATCGAAGGCCCCTGGGAGCACCGCAACCGCCGGTTCCAGAACGTGCTGCTCCACGTCTGCAGCTTCATCCTCATCCTCGAGTTCGCCGAGCGCGTGAGTTACTATGGCATCAACCAGGGCCTCAAGAACTTTATGGGCCAGCTCGGGTGGTCCCAAGTGGGCTCGAACTCGCTCAAGAGCACGTGGACGTCCATCTGCTACTTGTCGCCGCTCCTCGGCGGCTACGTCGCGGACGAGAAGTGGGGCCGCTTCCGGACGCTCTGGGTCTTTGGCGTCTGGTACACGCTCGGCGCGTTCCTCCTCACGGTGTCGGCCCACCCCATGTTCCTCGAAGAAACGCACGGCAACCGCGTGCTCGCCAACGTCTTGTGCCACGTTGGCCTCTTTGCTGGCGTGGCCGTAGGCACCGGCGCGATCAAGGCCAATGTGATTACGTTTGGCGCCGACCAGTTTGACCCCAACGACCCGAACGAAGTCACGCAGAAGGAGCACTTTTTCAGCTACTTTTACATTGTCATCAACCTCGGCGCGATCTTTTCCTATGGCTACTTGTCCGTGCTCTGTGTCGAAGGCACGGGCGCCATTGGCAAAGAGTATGGCTACTTTGCGTGCTTTTTGATCTGTGGCGCGGTCATGGTGCTCGCCTACGTGCTGTTTCTCATTGGCTCGCCGCGGTTTGTCCACTTTGTCCCGCAAGATAGTGCGCTCACCAAGTTGTGCACGATCGTAAGGGGGAACCGAGCGTTCAGCTTTGAAGCGAGGATGCTGTACTATGGACTGGTTGCGTTCGGCGCTGCGTTCCCGTTGAATCTCCTGGCGTCGTTCTTGTCCGACTGGCTGTCCGTGGGGCAGTACTTGTCGTATCTTGTCGTACTCTTCTGTGCGTTTGGCATGTACGCGTGGATTCGATATGGCATGAACACGGCTTACATGGACAAGTCGAAAGCGTCGAACGGCGGCAAGTACAATGACGAAACCGTAGACGAGATCAAGATGGTGATCCGCGTGCTGCCGTTTGCATCGTTCATGATCATGTGGGAGTGCGCGTACGACCAGCTGGATGCAAACTTCCAGTCGATCGCGCAGCAGTGCGATCTGCGTGTTGGCGCTAGCAGCGTCAGCGACTACGACGCGGTCCAGATTCCCGGTGCTAGTCTCGGCATTTTCGACCCGCTTACGATTATTTTACTGATTCCTGTGCTAGATGGCTTTGTGTATCCAGTGTGGACAAAGTTGTTTGGACAGCCACCTAGTGCGTTTGGAAAAGTGCTGACGGGGCTTATCGTCGCTACGCTGACTCTGGTGTGGTCTGGATTCTTCGAGATCATTCGACGAGACAGTGGCGTGATCACTTATGTAGACGAGAACGGCGGAGTTCAAACCATTCCGAACAATGGGTCCAACCAACCGATGAACCACACGTCCTGGGCGTATGCAGTTCCAATGTATGTGCTCATTGCTGTGGCCGAATGCCTGATTAATGTGACGGCCTACGAGCTGTTTTACACCGAAGTGCCGGTGTATCTGAAGAGCACGTGCCAGGCGATCAATCTGTTCATGGTTGCGATGGGAAGTAATTTGACATCAACCTTCACGCTACTGTTCGAGCGGTATATCACGGACGACCTCAACGACGGCCACTTTGAGTACATGTATTGGACGCTCGGTGCACTTAGTGTAGTCAACATCATTGCCTACGTGACGGTCATGAAGTGGATGGAGTTTGGAATGGCGCGCTTCGATGCGGACGATGAGTTGCTCGATGGCACAGTGTTCGACAGCCATGGAGAAAACATCACAAGCATCCAGCGGCACTCGTCGTTTGAGAGTATTTCGTTGTCCAGAGGGTAGCGATGTGGCTGGGTATTTGCTCTTGGACGAACAAGCGATAACTGGTGGTTTGTCGATACGATTATTATGGGTAGTAGTAGGCGTGAATAAAAGGTTTTGTATGCAAAGGAGGGAAGGCGGCTCGGTCATGCTTTGGTCTGGCTGCTATGGACTAAGCCTGGCTATCGTTTCGGGCATTTCGAGTAGTCGTGGAAGTGACCTGTCCGATCGGATGGACGAATGCGGTATTCTCCGTGGTCAGCATCAGAGAGACTCGTGTGTGGAAGGTCCGTGGCAAGTGACGTTTGTTAGAAATGAAGGACGGGCTCAACACGGATCGGGACAGTTGGACGCAATACTCGACCTCGCGACGCTTGTTGTCGATGCGGAAGTCCCCGGTCCATTTACAGATCTCGACTGTCGGTGGTAAGCGTCACGCTGCAAAACAGTGCAACTTGCTGGCTCTAGTGCCGATACTCATTACCGCTGTCAGGTCTGGTCCGCGATGGCGTCTGCTGCGTGTCTGGTGACACTCTACGCAGCTGTAGCAGTTCAAGCACCACCGGCTCTTTACAACTCCAGATTCCGACGATAGCGCAAAGAGTCGTTGCCACCAGCTGCTGTCGCTGGCACCCGCTATCGCTGTCGTGTACAGTGTCGGCGATGCATCGTCCATTCCGATGCGTTCGCGATGATAGCGGCTCGCTCGTTCTTGGACTGCATTGGCACACCCTTGCGAGCAGACGTACACTTTCGACCGAGTTTCTACTTAGTGGGTCAGTTCGGCAAGTGGACTCAGTCGCGCACTGGTGTTTTTGCACGCAGGTCGCTAGTGTAGTGAGGCAGCCGTTCCATCGTGGACTGTTGCTACGGTCTGAAGTACCTCACAACATGACCTATCGCAACAAAGGGCTACAACATTGTACCAGTCAGAGCAGTCGAACATGACGTACTGCTGGGCGGTTCTTTCCAGTGTGTGGCACGCTCGCTACGTCCACTAGCGGATGCAATTGTACCTGAACACCACCGTATCCGCTCTCGTGAGTCTCTTTCGTTGAACACGTGCTGTAAACTGAAATACTCGAGCATTGAAGGCATCATACCACCATATCGAACTAAGCTATGCGCCGCTTGGCATCAAGGCTGATTAAAGCCAGCACCTCTCTCTGCTGATGAACTGCCATAGCCTTCGCTGGTAATGGGAGTGTATGCACAAGTACACGACGAAAGCGTGCGTTACTTCCTTAGCAGCGACGTTCCCAATATTGCGGTATCCGATTGTGTCAATCTCAATTGCATCGCATAGCTCATTTGTGCCCACAAAGTTCGATGTGTAGGACTTTCGGAATGCCATCGGTCGACATCCGCTCGTGCCAACTATGGACTTGCACACTGCAGCAACTTGTCGACACTCGATGCAACGGGGTGCCCTAGGTACCAGAAAGCGTCTGTAGGGTCCCTTGACACGTCATTGCGACCAGCAGCACGTGCGCTGTACACACTTTGTTCGCACTGCATCAAATCGTGGATGTGGAGCTGACCTGGGCCAGCACAGATTCATCTGCTGCTCCACTTTCCAACGTATCCGAATGCACCAACAAGACTGCCACCAAAAGTCTGCTGACATCTCTGCAGCTTCGATACGAGGCCGACATCACACGCACTAGCGACGTGGCTGACTGAAGCTGCACCACGTCCGTGTAGCTGGACCTACGACACTCGCTCGTCTTCAGTCAACTCTTCTTCATGGTCGCAACAGATCTTGTGCACCGACAGCTCGATAGAGATAGCACTTCAGCATCGCCAAAACGACTTGTTTGGGCGTGAAGGATGACGGCAAAACGTTGGCAAGCAATCGCCCTGCGGTTTACGGGCAGACGGGAGCTTTCTGCCGGTTACCTGAGTCTATCCGGCAGCGTGAACTTGTGGTACAGCGCTGTGGTTGACGCAGTCCCTCGCGTCAAAAGCACGACCAGAGGCATGTACACACCATAATCAAGTCACGCGTCGTTTTGATCGGCATGCTGTCCGTCTTGGTGTAGACATGTTGCCGAAGCAAGCAAGACCCGGTAGACGCTATCTGTTCCAAACCGTGGCGGACTGAACACCAGCTTTATTGTGCGTCATCAATGCTTTACCACAACAGCATCTGTCTCACGCAGTGACGCTCCGCTTGGACGATGACGTCGCTGCATTCTTCGTTCGCTTGATGTCGGCACCAGGCTCAGCGTCTAGTACCCGAGCCGTCCATGCTTGTATCCGAGGCAGCGCGTACTGGTAGCCAACTTCAATAATCTCTTCCATCTTATTGAACTCCAAAGTACCGTAGTCCTTGACCGGTGGACGTAAGTATAAATCAATGCATTCCTCCTTGACACGTTCCTTATGCTGTTCCGATGAAACATAAGCCAACGCTGCTGAGATATCGCCCATGGAAGGCACTACCACAGTTCCTGCGAACGGGTTCAGCTTATTCCACAGCAGCCACCATCCTGACAGCGCACTGCCATATTCGTAAAACAAAGTACGTGTCTCGCTCGCTACGTCCACTGCAAAAATGTACTTGATGCCGCCTTCCTCCTTCATGACGTCAGCTGGGAGGTTGTTCATGTACCCGCCATCTAGCAGCAATGAACCGTTCTCTGAAATTGGAGGAAAGTAGCCTTGCAAACTCATTGATGCTCGTATGTACTTCCACACCGGGCCACTGCGGTGTACACTCATTCGAGACTTTGCGATATCCGTGGACACGCAAAAGTAATTCAGCATCAAGTCCTCGATCGAGAGGTCGTAGAAGTGCGCTCGGATGCTTCTGTTGAAACGCGTGCCATTGAAAAAAGACGAAATCGGCAAAGTGAGGTCGCACAGCTTCTCAAAGATGCTGCTCAAACCAGCTGATAGCTGCCGTACTTTCGCCTCGACCAAGCTCAGATTGTTCGGGTGGAGCGCAAAGATGCCGCCAATGAACGCGCCAATGCTGGTACCGCCAACCACATCGACGTGGATGCCACACTCTTCTAGCGCCCGTAGCACGCCTATGTGCGCCAGACCTCTCGCACCGCCACCGCCAAGCACTATGCCAACGGCGTTTCCAGTGATCCGACGACTCAGACGCATAAAGTCTGGGGAATGGTCTTCGAACGGAATTTGCACATTGTGGTAACCGCAGATCCATTCATACTTCTCCATCGGAAGAATGAAGCGCGGCAACAACGGACTGTCCATTTGTAGACACAGCTTTCGTTTCAACGCGTACGAACGCGACGACCCATTGGCCTCCTGTATTGCAGCCGCTTTCAATGCCGCCAGCGTCCAGTCCTTTTCGCGGATACGCACAACGTTGATCTTGGCATCTCTTTTGTCCCACGCACCTTCCAAAATCAACACCATATCACTCACAAACGCCTGCTGTGGGTGTGCATCCGAGCAGAGCAGCAAGATATGGTCTGCCTGGCGAATACAGAGCTTCGTCCAGGCTGTCATCTGTGGGTCAGCTTCGTAAATGACCAGCTCATTCGAGCTCTCGATGTCACCCATCCAGGCTACGAGATTCGCCCGTGCGACGCGAGAGTTGTCAATCCACTGGTCACCCAGAAAAGCCTTGGCTCCCTGCGAAGACACTGTTTCGACCGAGGCGAGGGTTTTCAGTGACGCTTCCAAATGCGAGCAGAACGTCCGGATCTTGGTCATTTTAGTCAGCGAGAGAACAGCAATGGTGCTGATCGGGAGATTGCCGCCCATCTTTTGCCCATCCGTGGCAGAAGGACCCGAGCCAAGCGAAAGCATGTAGTTACCGCGGGTCTTGACACTGTTGGTATCAGCCTTTCGGGAATCCACTCGAGGAGTTGGCATGCGACGTGCCAAGTTCTTGGTGAAGTGGATCAGAACGGAGGGGTACTTGCTCACAACGTAGTCAAACACATTACGAGACATCTGCGAGATTTGGGAATCGCGGACTGCAAACACTGAAGAATTGCTAGGCCCGGCCGAAAGCATATCCATCGCGCCAAGCGTAGCACCTCGAACAAGATCGTTCGTCGTCTCCAGCTCTTTGCCACGATGCGACAGCGTTTGCACGACACGAAGACGACCACTGATGACCGTAAACACGGAATCGCACACGTCTCCACGATTGAATAAACTCTCCCCGCTGTGAAGATGCAGCCATTCAAAGGATGTGTCGGCTACACACACGAGGCCAGAGTATTGCTCGATCAGGTGGCGCGTACATTTGACAGCAACCGAGTTGATCTGCAGTAGACTACAGAATAGCGCATCGGGGATGCACAACAACGTAGTGTCTTCAAGACACACGTTGCGGGTCGCGAAGAAATGCGCGCCAACAAAGCACGTGGAAATACCGACTTCACTTCCTTTCGTAGCTTTGTACAGCTCCGCATACGTTTGCGAAGCTGTTGCAACTTGAACACTGACCGACCCGTCCAGTACAATGTGCACGCCCAGTGCACTCGAAGCATCACCAGCTTCACGGATCGTCTGGTCCTTCGAGCGCTTGACCACTTGTACGCTGCGAGCAAGCGTCGCCCGCAACTCCAAGTCGACCAAACCAATCGCGTCAGCAACCTCATGAACAATCGAATCCACCACCACAGCACCCTCGTCTTTCCCAGCATCAAGCGGCAGCGTCTGCACGAGTGGCGTTGCCGTGATGATCTCGGACGACAGACCAAAGTGGTCAATCAACGACTTGGCCGTGATCTTTTCCACTTGACTCAGCGCGGCTTGCGCCAGGCGGTAAAACGCCTCGGGGTACGTGTCCAGCACTTGCTGGATCGCGTGCGGCGGGATCTTAAACAACCGCGCGCCGTGCTCGCCCGCCCGCGCCGACAGCCGGCCACACACCTTCTGCACTTGCGTACAACACGCTCCGCCTTGCACCTCGTTCACCAGCACTGTCAGCAACTGCAGCGACGACGTCAGCGTGTCCCCTCGCTCCAGCAATCTCGAAAACCCACGCGGCCTCGCGCCCTCTCTCTTGTCCTTCTTCTCGTCCATCTTCTCGTCCATCATCTCGTCTTCTTCGTGGATCGTCAGCGTCGCAGAGCCGTCCACAATGAGGAGAATCGACCCATCGAGTTCCTGCGGCCCAAAGATCGTCTCGTGCTTTGCAAAGCGCACGATCCGCAGCTCGCGCGCCAGCGGTGCAACGAATTCGCTGCGCAAAAACGAAAACACTTTCGACAGTGTGTCGTATACGCTCTTGAGCGTCTCAGGGCCGCAGCTCTGCCGCAGCGCGCGCGGGAACGTCACGTGGTCGTCCACTTCGAGCTGTCGGATCTCCTGCAGCCGCTCGCGCTCGACGTGGAGCAGATCAGAGAACGACTTTGAGTGGCGCGACGCGTGTCGCAGGCGCTTGGACGTCGGCGACGGTGGCGACGGCACTGCAGTCGCTTCAGACGCGTGCGCGAGTGTCTTCTTGCGCGGCCGTACTTGGCGCGACGCGACCCATACAAAGAGACCGCTGAGGAGCAGAGCGACTGCTGTGAGCGCCGCGACGCCGCCGACGGCGTACGGGTTCGGGGGCCGTCGCCGCGGGCCACGTCCAGAGCGGCGACATGCGGACGACGAGTGGTCGGGCGCGTTGAAAAAAGCAGTCACAAGTTGCTTTTTCTTGCCGGCACATGCGCTTTTTCGAGGCAATGCGTAAAAAGCAAAACCAACCAGTGGAGCTGCCTGCGGGTGATGCGGTGGTCGGGAGGGAGAGTCCCTCGTTGGAGTGCCATCGTGTGGCCCACACGATGGCACTACAGTGATACCCCGTGCCGGTTGTGCTTGTGGGCGGCGTATGGACGACGAGGGCGGCGACGGCGGGCGACTGGCCGCGCGCTACGACCGTCTGATTGCTGCACTGAGTAGGAACGCGTTTGCTTCTACACGAGGTGACGACGCGTTTCCATTTGCAGTGGCAGTGGCTGAGGCTGAGACGAGCGAGGCGCATGGCCAGCAGCTGCTTGCGAGGACTGCGGCCACGAGCGTACGCTGTGCTGAGCTCATTGCCGCGAGCTTAGAGACGAGTGGGGCGCTCGTGAAGCTGGAAAAGACGCTGCAAAGGGCGCACGCTTGCAGCGGAGAGGGCGACGAGCGGGAGAAGGACGAGGCGATGGACTGCGAGGAAAAAGACAGAAGTGGAGACGGAGAGGGAGACGGAGACGAGGAGGCCACGACGTTGTTGCTGCAGGATCTTGTGGCTGCTGGGGACGAGGCAGCGGACGCTGCTACGACGTACGTGCAATTGGGTGTGGTCCGCAAGACAGCGCGGGCGAGTCGGGCGCTTTTGGCGTCGGCCGAGACCCACTTGCAGAAGCACTGGATGGCCCGTGGGGACGCGCCTGCAGTTGGAGCCACTGCCGTGGCGAACGAGTTTCGCCAGTTGTACATGGAGGAGTTCACCGCGGCGTTTGGTGACGAATTGGACCAGTTTCGCCAGGAAGACCGCTTTGAGAGCAAGGACGTGACGTATCTAATCTCGTGCATCCAGGCAGGAGGCGACATTTTCACGCCGCTGCAGAAGCAGCTCTTTATGGACTCTGTTCGGACCTGTCGAGAGTGATCGAGGCGACACGTGGAGGAGCAGTAAGAACGAGAAACATGGACGGAATGTGAGCGGAGCGGATGCGCACGGTGCATGCGGATGGATGCCGTTGTTGTTTTGTTCCCCTGTATGTAACAACTAACGCTGTGTTTGTTGTAGTACTGCCATCCTCTATGCAGGCAGTATTCACGACAGCAGCAGCCGTTCCTGCTTTCTCAATACAGCATCAACCGCCGACAGCTTACGCGCGGAGGTTGACCTTGCGCTTCGTCACCTTCGCCGTCTTCTTCTTGCCTTTCTGCAGTACGCTGCTGCAAGCGGCAACAACATGCGACTTGACCGTGGGATAGTACGACTCCATTGGACGCTCGCGCAAGATGCGCTTCTGTAGGCGAGTGCGTCCTGCATTCGCCTGGTCAAAAAAGCTGTCGATCCACAACAGCATGCCTTCGCGACCGGTCTTCAAGAGCTCGATCCCTTGGCTGAAAAGAGGGTCTTCCGTCAGCGGTGGGCAGAGGGCATTGCTGTCAGTCAGCGACGACACCTTCACAGTCGCTTTTCCACTCTCGGGTTCACTTTCCTCCTCTGTCGGCGCCACACGCCGATAGAAGTAGCACTGGTGACCTTCACTCGAACCTGCCATCGACGTCGCGACGCGTCCGATGTTTGTCACAGAGAACCCATACGTCTCGACCACTTTCCGCGGCGAATGGAAGCTGACAAAGTACTGCGCCGAGCTACGGTTAAACATCTCCGCCATCTTGTCCATCACATCGGGTGGAAAGCCCACGTCAAAAGTGTACACGTGCGAAAACGGTTCAAACGTGTGTGCGTGCGTGATGTCGCCTGCCGTGAACACGGTCGAAAGCGGCTTGTGACGCTGCGAGTCGAGCGACAACACACTGCGGAGGTTGTGCAGCGACAGGTGCCAGCGCAGTTCTTCGAGCTCGATGCCGTACGAGACCTGAACGCCGGGATCCACGGACACGTGGAAGTTTGGCTTGCCGAGTCCCGAGCCCACGTCCACAAAGCAGCTGGACGCAGAGAGTTCGCACTTGTCCTTGAGGTAGTCCACCACGCGTTGGAACGAAGCTTGCGTGATCTCGCCGTAGATGGCGCCACCGGCTGCATTGCCGCCGAGACTGCCCGTTTGCTTGCGAATGGCCTTGTACACCTCCGCGACTTCGTGCTCCGTGAACGTCCGGTGGATCTCCTTCTCGCGCACGTCCGCCAGTGGCGTCACTTTACCCGGTGCACCAATCGACAGCCGCGTCCGCTTTTTACTCGACACTGGCGTAGCGCTACTACTACCGGTGGTGTTCGTTGGTAGAGTGCTGGCACTCGCCTTCTTCCGTTTGCGACCAACCGCAGCTGTGGTGTCGAGCAGGTCGGACGCCTCAGGACCGTCGGAGTGCGTCGTCTCCAGTGGTTTCTTGCGCGCTGCGGTGCTACGCGGAGGGGACAAGAGCGAAGCAGTGGCCGCAGGCGACGCCATCTGTCCCATTGATTCGATGCGTACTTAACACACACAGATACACAAATACTCACGACGGGAGTGCAACAGCTACGAAACGTGACGTGGGTATGCGGGTATACACGTCGCACCTGCCTCTCTGTATACAGTCTTTGGGAACCGGTATTCGACAAGCACCGGTTCGTTTCGTTTCGGTTTTCTCCGTACGTCGCGCCACTTCGACAGTTGTCACGTACGTGCGCTCGAAAGTATCCAATGCGCCGCTCTTCCTCGCGGGCCCTCATTCTGCATCCGCTGTACGCGCCTCTGAGCAGTGGGCGATCGCCCGAGGATCAAGCCATTGCCGAGTGGCTATGCGCACTTGCGGCAGCTTCCTCGCGCTCACAAGAGCCGCTCAGTCTCGTGGACTTTACGTGCGACGAGACGATTCACGCCATCTTGAGCTTCCTCGATGGCCCGTCGCTCGGCTCGGCACGCAGCGTGTGCCGCTCGTGGTACCACGTGGGCAGCGACGACCACTTGTGGCTCAACTTGTGCCTCCGCGAGTTCCACGTGTTGCCCTCGCAGCTCACCACGCAGCCCGAGAGCCACCAGAAGCTCTACCAGTTTGCCTGTCGCTCGCTCAAAGCGCTACTGCGTGACTACTTGCACGAGCAATGCCTCACGAATGTGCAACAGTCGCTGCGCATTCCTCGTGCGGCTGCACTGACGCTTATTGCGTCGCGCTCGTCTGTGTGACGTCGTCCGGCCCGTGCAGCTTTCACGTCAATGGCAAAGCATCTGGCGGCCCTTTTCACATCCCTGCGAAGATACCTTCTCTATCCATCATTTGCGCATGACGCCGTGAGTTGGGAGAGGAGAAGAAGAAGAAGACAATGTGCATCACAAAGTCGTTGCGAGCGCAAGAGTGAGTGTTTGGGAAGAATACACACAAGATTGGCTCGTGCTGGAGAGTATTGATCCGTATCGTTGTTGTTTCATTCGCGAGTATGGCGATGGTAAGATGCATTGCAATCGATACCCCATGGCCGCGGGCTCGTGCTGCACGCAATTCATCGCGCGGTTGGATGCAACTCGATTTGCTGGGTGTCTACACTATTGAAGATCTTGGCCACTTGCTATGTCGGGCACGTCCGCACTCTTCATCGTCAATTAGCGATATACATCCTACGTTCATCGGCGTCACTTGAGTCTGTGTTACACACTTGACGGAAAACAGACTGTTGGTGTCGTAAGCGCATCCGCAATATCGTTTTCCTCGTCGAAGCTCTTCGTATCGCGCAGAAGATAGTGAGTTACACTGCGCCGTTGGTCTCGTGACTCGCGGGAAACATGGTTGCTACAAAGTCGACTCGTCAACGGTCATGAGTGCCGCTGCTTCCGTGATGATTCGAGAGTACACTTTCGACTCTGTTGCTTGCAGTGCAACGTCGTAGAACGAGACCTCCGATACGTTGCGGGATCTGCGGAGAAGAAGCCGAGCATCTGACCTTTCGCATACATTCGCACGTAGTGTACTTCACACAAGTCACTTGGCATGCTCATGGAAGTCGCTTTGCCGATTGATCACGGTGAAATACGCTCTGCTGATTCCAGTTCGGTCACAAGTAGCCATCTGGCAACCTGTAACGTTCGTTGCCGTGATGACTTCATGCGTGGCAAATTCGCATCTTGGTGCATGTTTCATACGCTCACTGTTATCTGCCGCGATCGAGATGTATGTGCTGGCACAAGGCGGTGAATCTGTATTCCCTGTCTTGGAGGTCAACGTGCCGACTTTTTTGAATGCTCGCTCGCGCACGTCATAAACGGTTGCATGACCCCAAGGCAAAGCACCAACCTGTCGTGTTCACCGCCATTGCTCCTCTATAGCTAGGTCAATCAATCTCCATTGTGTTCGTATATCCTCGCCATGTGAACCGCAACACGACAAGTGGTCGGGCTGGACAGGTGAACTGCAAGTAGCCGATACTGCGCTAAGAGATACAGCACTCGGTCATCATCTGCGCATGGACGCCAATTTACTGACCCTGTTGCGGTGATCTGGCTTTCATTGCAATCCTAATCGCTCAGGCCTTGCACAAAATGACTCTGTCAAAGCGTATTTCCACAGACACATGCCAAGATTGACAGTCGCTAGGTCTAAGTCACGCTCAGTCGGTAAGCACAGACCTCTACTTTCCCATTCGCAGAACTGATTCAGAACCCATACTTCGTCGTCCAGAACGGTAATTCGGTCCCGGGTAGACAAAACGATATGCCGACGGACGTTGCGTTGACCTTTCGTTGTTGCTGGCTTGACTCGTAGAAGAGCGTGGCGAGACGGCGAGGCCGACGCGTTGGCAAGCTGGTCGATCGAAGAGTGAGCTAGATGCAACGCAAGAGATCAACAAGCGCGACCCGCCTCTGTCATCTTGACTACTACTGAACGGACTACTTGCTTCGGACTCGGTCTCTTCCATCGGCTGCCTGGCCTTGAAGTTGAAGCTCGAGAGATGACTCTAGACATCGACAGAGGATTTGTCTATATCCACGTGACACACTTCCTGCCCATAAAGTGTGAATAGTGAACACACATGCTGCATATTACGATGCTGCCATCACGATCTACTTCCGACTCTGCTAACTATCGGCATACGACGTCACGAAAAAGACGCAGTAGTTGTAGACACAACCATTGCACTAGTGAGCCGGCGGTCTCGAACCAAGCATTCTGCCCGTTTAATTAGCTGCAACCTCGAATGACCACAAGCTTTTCACCAGGTCGCTCTCGCGTCAACGCTCCGTAGCATCACTTGTTGCTGCCAACAGTATAAGAGATACACGTGCGCATACCTCACATCGCCCATAGATACACGGCGACGATCTTGTAGCGCTTTGAACGGCTTACCAACTAATCGACAAGCGTCGATCACTCTTTCACGACGTCTCGGGACCACCGCCTAACCAGATATATGCTCGTGCCATTGACATCTCCAGTATCTCTGTCGTACATATGACCGACGCAACAACCGACGGGTGGTGCGTTCAGAACACGTTGGTACAATCGCAGCTGCACCCCACCAAGAACTGTTGCCTGCTTCAACATGGCCGCGTTCTCTACAGCCAATCAACGCCACCCAAAGTGAAGCCATAACGCGCCATCCAATCATCGCACGCAGCCATCGCTGACACGATGGCTGGAGAGGAAGACGCTCTCTCGGTGGCGACACTCTCGCTCGAGGCTACAGACGTCCGTGTCGACGAGAAAGTGGCCGCTGTGCGGGAGAGCGTGATCGGAGGCAATGTGGATCAGGTTCTGGCGACTGTGGGCGACCTCGGAGACCAGTCGCCGCTCGTGTACCTCATGGACTGGCTCCACACTTGGCAACAGGAGTACGAGGCTTTTGTTCATGTTCTAGGCGTCCAGGAGGAGACAGCGGACCACAAGGGGCCGATCGAGATGGAAAAGGATCTTGCTAATGTAGAGGCTGAGGCGAAGCAACTGATGACGGGGTTCGGCAAGGTAGTGATGGCGCTGCTGCCGCGTCTGGGTGTCAAGGACCCAGACAGCGTGGTAGACCGACACGGGTGGACGCTGTTGATGCAAGCGGCCAACTCTGGAATGTACGACTTGGCGAAAGGACTTGTAGATCGTAAAGCTGATGTGAACTATAGCGGCACAGCAAAGCACGCGTATAACCCTCTCTACCTGGCTATCGAGTCGGAGCACACGGCTGTAGCTATGTTGCTGCTTGAAAACGGTGCCATTGCTTCTGCCACAAAGCTGGTCAAGACTCCTGCTATCGATGCAGAGAATGGAAAAAAAGATGACGTGGAAGGCGATGACTGTGCACTATTCCAGGCTTGTCGCTTTGGTCAATTCCGCGTCGTCAAAGAAATGCTAGCACGAGGCGTGGACGTCAACTTTGCACTGCCTTCAAATGGCGACCGTGCGCTGCATGTGTCAGTGATGTTTGGGATGCAGAATGTCGTTGAGCTTCTCGTTGATGACGAGGCGATTGATTTGAATGCACTGAACAAGATTGGCCAGGTTTGTCTCTTTGGCTGCTCCTGTGTTGAGCTGGTGAAGCTGCTTGTTGCGAAGGGAGTGGACCCCAAAATAGAAGATATTGACGGCGAGACGGCTCTATCGATGGCGCAAGCACTCGGAGATGATGAGGTGGCCGCATACTTGGAGAATCTGACCATGTAGTTTGTATTATTCTGTTTCTTTTGCCATATACATGATCTACTCGTATGTCTTCCTTACTACTAGCAGTCCTCTGATTCCGTAGACGCTTTGCATTTGGCCACGCTGGAGGTTCAAACTTTTAGCCAGTGCATTCTGTAAACGTCAGGCACCTTTCGTCCGAGAACGAAAGGAGCTAAACACTGCCGACATAATTTACTAACGGTAGCCCAAGATTGGCTTTGAGTTGAGTTCCTAGTACGTGCGCTTACAATAGCAAACACAAGTTTGTATTCGCATGTTTCCGGCACGACCATCGTGTCAAGGCCTTGCAGCAGCATCGGACGACGAGAGAGATGACTTGAACTTCGGGTACGACCGTGATGCAAAAGCGGATGCAATCTGTGCTTCTCACAGGTGCTGTGCTACCCAGGGTAGTACAGCTCGTTCACGAATGACTTGCGTTTGCAGGCATGGCCTCGCATCTCCCAATCAAGATCATTGTCGTACTGGTAGTTGTTCGACCAGTCTTCGTGAGACAAAGTGTTCGAAATGCGCAATACTACTTAGCACTTGTTACACCATGTAAGTCAGGTCATCCAATATCTCACGTACTTCATTCCAGCGCCAATGGTCCGCGCGGGTAGTGTCGAAAACTCCAGCAATCGAAGCCTATACTGCAGACAGCTACGAGGACCTTTTGCAAGAATAAGGGTGGTAGACCTTCGTTCAGATGAAGTCCTTATGAGGTGTGTGCTTCTTTGATTCCCAAAAATGTCGATAAATTATGTGATAAACAGCTTGCACGTATCTTGTTTACGCGAATGTAGCGGTATCGTAAGAAAAGCTTGGCGTGTGCAGATGAGCTAGTTCGAGACTTGCACTTCAGTGGAGTTTGTCCATCGTAAAGACGCATTGCCCGATTTATCTCAGCACTTATCCTCTAGATCTCCTCGATTATTCCAGCGTTTGACAGTTTTGGGTGATGAAGGCGGTAGGGACTATGGCAATACTTCTAGTTGTGCTGGCCGACCAATAAGCAAGACGGCGCAACATCCTCATGTCCCCAAGCAAGAACCTTCGACGTACCGCTCGATCGAGCAGAGATCTCTGCTTGCAGTGATGTTGTTGTAATTGGTTTACCATCTAGATGGCTGATGCTTGCCGCCAGCCGCTAGAAAGCATCAACTTCTGGCTACTCGAATGCAATGTACAGCTTATTATCCCAGACATATCTTGTCGGTACGTACTGCACAGGACTACGGTAATAGGCATCAGACAGTAGAAGCATTGAGAAACGATACAATCACTACATGCCGATTTTCCGTGACGAGCACTCAACTAACACACAACAGCAGTGCAGCAACACGTTCCTCAACAAACAGTTTCTCGAGTTACAGGTTCGAAATCGAAACGACAATCTGCTCAAGCGCTATCTCCTGTCATCTTCGTCGTCGTGACAATCGTTTGTACTGACAAGTGGTTCATGTCAATATGTTGCAGCAACTTCGTAGTCGTCAATTGACCTGTCTGGACAAAAAGTGCACACGTATTGTCGGCGTTTCGTGCCTTTGTCCGACCAAAGCATCGCTAGCTGTTGGCCAGCCCCTTTGTTTACAATGCCGTGTTTTCCACCAGTTGTCGATAAGCCAAGCGTTCACTTTTCGCCAATCACAACGCGACACAATCCGTAGATAGTTTGCAGGACAACATCACGAACGAAAGAGCGAAGTAAACCGTAGTAAGTTTTGAGCCCAACACGTTCTAGTTGTTGTCGATTAGCACGGGTAGGTGCAGTTCATGCCATGACTTGTAACCCGGATCGAGTCGCTTATTCGCAGCAGCAAACATCGATCCTCACTTCTGGAGCACGAGCACACCCTTTTTTGACTCCAGCTGCTAACTCTGCTGAAATTACTGCTCGTAGTCGACAACCAGTCAGCCGACGTCAACTCCCAGTGACCCCATCACGACGACTGGCAACCACATCAATTGAAGAACAATACCTCGCATGGAGAAGAAAGATCAGGCGGTACCGGCAGACGCTGCAGATCCCGCCCATGCACCAGCAGCTTCCGTGCGACGTCCATCAATGTACAAGATTCTGGTTTTCCTGCCTCTTGACCAGCTGACTCCTAACGGGACACTTGTCTTCCAAGTACTTACAATACATGCACACGCTATCTAATGTTTTGTAGAAAGGTGAAAACGCGAGAGCAGCGTCAACGACGGGCCCCGACGTCGTTCTCACCGAGTGCGGCCACCCCACTCCGGAAAAGCCGAAAGCCCGAGACTTCAAGTCCAGTAGCTATCGGTACCTCTCTTCCTGTTGCTGCTACCCCTCCTCGTCCGGAACACAAGCGACTGGAGAATAGGGTGAAATCGCAGGTACGAATGCGAAGATTCGGTTGGGCAGCACTGGCACGGATACTCGAGTGTGTGCAGCTCATATGGCGGTTTCATGGTGTCGTATCTGCCTAGGCTCACCGGTTGCGATACCCGTTAGCCTTTATCGAGGCATACGAGGCAGACGGGTGGCGCAAATCCAGCCGAGACAAGCTCCGACCCAACAAAGAACTCGAGGCCGAACACCGCAAGATTGTGAAAGGCAAACGCGCGCTGATCGACGGTCTCCGTGAACTAAAGGCGCTCAATGCACACGATCCGGTTGTACCACCGCAGGCCGTGTTTGAAGATGTGCATTGCTCTCGCTGCGGCAGCACCGATATCGAGCCAGACAACGATATCTTGCTCTGTGACAGTCCCGGTTGCCATCGCGCATACCATCAGAAGTGTCAGACTCCGATCGTCTTGACTGCCAAGATCCCAGCAGGTGCCGAACTGTGGTTTTGTGAAGTATGTCTATCCATCTTTGAGTGCCTCAAGTCGATCAACTCGGTGTTCGGAACGACGTACGAAAGCACCCAAGACCTCTTCCCCGAGCTTGCTCAGTCCGAGCAACAAGTAGCAATGGACGAAAGCAGCACTGCCCAGCCAAGCGAGAAGATCGTCAGTGCTCGCGCTGATGAGGATGAAGATGAAGAAGATGACGAAGACTTTGTTTGCGACGAAGGAGAGGCTGACGAGGACGAGGATGATGAAGACAGTGACGAGAAGGCGTCAAGCGATGTTGCAGGTGAAGGCGAAGAAGAAATAAGTGAGGAAGTACCCGAAGGTGTTCAAGACTTGCTCTTTCTCAACAAAGACGACGTCATCGACCTGAATCAGTAAGTGGTGTCAAGTGCTTTGCTTGCTGCATCCCCCGTGTTTGATCGTCCTCATTGCTGTTGTTGTGCTACGTCACAGTCGGTCAATGCGGTCAAAAAGTGCAAGTCGACTACCAAAGCCCGCTCATAAAAAACGAAGCCTTCTTGGTGAGTCGGCAGCTAAGATCGACCGTAAAACTGGCGGACTAATCCTTGGCGTCGTTGCTGAGCTCGAGCCGCCGTCGAAAGGCAAATATTCGCGCTGGCGTATTGACTACCGTGACGGAAGCTCGGAACTGCTGACGCGGATCAAGACCCAGGCTGCCATAAACCGTGCTGCGGTCGAGGACCATGACGATGGTCAACATGGTGATGGATCCGAGGGAGATTCGGCACTGATTGTCCGTGGAAAGCGTAAACGAAACGACGTAGACTATCGCGAGCTGAACAGTCTCATGTTTGCCGGCAAAGACGAAGACAGCGAAGATGACGAGAACTTCGAGGTCAAAGAAGGCAGTGATGGCGAATCTGACGACGACGAGGAGGATAACAACGACGAAGAGAAGTCGTACAACGAGGGTGGAGGTGAACAAAAGTGTGTTGAAGGCGAAGGCGTGCCGGATCAAAAACTGACAACTGCCGTGACCGCACCGCATGACGAAGTCTCGGAAGCGTCGGTCGTAAAGCGCAGTCATCGCAAGCGTGAGTTCGTTGATTACCATTCCATGCACGAAGGCCTGTACTCATAGATCCGACCATTTCACTCGTGCGCAAGGGCAACGATGAGTTCAACATCTTCCCTAGCTGCAGTTCGGGTGCAGTGAGTTTGAAAATATACAGGACCTTTCACGCGCGTTGTTGCTTCAGGTCCTTCGCTAGTACATCGGAAATGTCGGGTCAACACCACCTTCTTTAGCATACTCGGTGTACCCTCCATTCACGTTGAACACATTCTTGACACCGTGATCGACCAACCACCGTGTCACCTTGACCGAATCCACACCTCGACGACAGATCACATACAATCGCTTACTCGTGAGCGGTGGGGAGTCAGTCACGTCCTCATTCTTTCCCTGCAAAGTACTGATACTTTCAGGATCCTGCTTCATGAGCTCACCGGTTGGAATGTTTACTGCTTCGGGGAAATGCACCATGTCAAACTGTATGCGCGCACGCGTGTCCAGCAGAACATAACTGCCGTCTGCAGCATGTTGTTTTCCTTCCTTTCTTGCTTCCTCGCGCACTTTGGCAAATTCCTCAGCGCTGATACGAAACTCAGGGCCGAGATCGTCAATGCGCTTTGCTGCATCGGTGCAGTTGCCCTCGACCAGTAGCGACGCGTCAACAGATACCACGTCGCCATAAACAGCATCCCTACGACAAGACAGGCAGTTCTTTTTTCTCTTCATGGCAATTTTCAAGCGTCGGAACTGACCGTCGTATGCGTCGTAGAAGCACTGCACACCGACAAGAGGTTCTCCTACACCCGAAATGAGCTTGACCGTTTCCATGGCCTGGAGACACCCGATCACGCCAGGAACAACACCGATCACACCGTTTTCAGCACAGCTCTTTGCGGCGTGAGGTGGATCAGGATACAAACAGCGGTAGCATCCGGTCGCGTTCTCGTCGTCCTGATAGGTAAACACAGTGACCTGGCCCTCCATACCCAGCGCACTTCCCGATACCAATGGCGTACGTCGAAGTGCACATGCATCGTTTACGAGGTAGCGAGTTCCAACGTTGTCCGAGGCATCAACGACCACATCATGTTCTTCGACAAGGTACAACGCGTTCGCAGCAGTAAACCGCATCGGATACACGTCGCACCGCAGCAAAGGGTTCAATTCTTGCAGTCGTTTCTTCGCCGAATCCACTTTGCTCGCTCGTTCTTTCGCTCCCTGTTCATCATGAAGCACCTGTCGATGCAAATTGCTTCGATCGACACAGTCGTTGTCAACGATCGACAACGTGCCCACGCCCATAGCAGCCAAGTACAGCGCAGCAGGCGACCCGAGTCCACCGACACCAATCAGCAGCACACGTGCAGACCGCAACTTCAGCTGCGCTTGCGCTCCAAAGTCTTTCACGAGCATTTGTCGTCCATAGCGCTGTAGCTCCACTTTCGAAAACTGGGAGTACGTCAACGTCTCGGCACGCGCCTCGACTGCCGCGCCCGTGTCCGCTTGTTTCGTCTCAGCTTCTTCCGACCGCTTCTTAAGAGTCTCAAGTCGGACTTGAAGCGCTTTGTTCTGCGCTCGCAGTGCTGCTAGTTCTGTAGCCAGCACCGAGCAGCGCACACATGCAGTCGAGGAGCTCATTTCGGGCGTGCCTCAATTATAACAATTGAGGCAGCGGATACCGTAATATTTGCAGTAGCATCGAAAGTCTCACGTCGCGTAACGTGCATCTCGCATTGACATTCGAGTCGCTCGTGACCATGACCTTCTTTTATCGAGTAATGCGTCCCGGTCGTCTCTATTTGATGCGCTTTCCAATTGCTGCGAGTACAAGAGGCACGAGCCGTATCGCACCGAGTTACGCCCGTGTCGCAAACTTGTCGACCGGTTCGTTTTCGCGAGAAGACGACAAGAAGAACTCGATACTAGAGCTGTTCCAGCATGTAGCCGATGGAAAAGTATCGCCTCAAGCGGCAGTAGAGCACTGGCGTTCTGTTAGTGCAGCGTATCGATCAGTCGAAGACTTTGCCAAGATCGACACGACCCGAAAAGCTCGTACCGGGTTTCCAGAAGTCGTGTACGCCGAGGGCAAAACGGCCGAACAAGTGGCAGCGATCATGAAAGTGATGATGGACAAAAGCGACGACATTGTGATGGCTTCGCGCGTGACAGCGCAAGCTGCAGAACGACTTCGTGCATTGATACCGGTACGGGAAGCGGCGCGAGAGATGCAATGTGTGTGTGTGTGTGGGGGCCCTTTTAGTCAGAGAGCTCCGATGGTGATTGAGCTAAGTGTGGGCGGGTGTGGGTGTGTGGGTGACAGGATGAAGACCTGACGTACTACGAGGTGCCTCGAATCTTGGCGTCAGCATCTCGATCAAAGGGTGTAGGAACCAGCGATACCGACACGGACGAGAAGGTGTGGAACTGCTGTTCGTTTCGAGTCGATTGATGATGATGTGTGTTGGGTTGGCGCTTAGTTTTTCCTGGTGGTGTGCAATGATGCAAGAAACCCACAGTGTGTGTGCTGTGTGCCGGCACGTCGGATCTTCCTGTCGCAGAAGAAGCTGCTGTGACTCTCGGTGCGTATGCTTGTCCGGTAACTTTTCACAGCGGAACCTGATCGATGTGCATGAACTTCCCAGAGCTTGCACACTACGGCGTCACTCGCCTCTACGACGTGGGCGTGGCTGGAATCCACCGATTGCTGCACAACCAGCACATTGTGCAAGCATCGGACGTCGCCATTTGCGTTGCTGGGATGGACGGTGCTCTCCCTGGTGTAGTGGTAAGTTGAACTCTGTCGTCGTCTTGACTCTGGTCGTCGCCACAGTGCTCTGTGCTGTTGCTTGCTGATCATGGTGCTGTATATTTCTTTCGCAGGGAGGTATCACGTCCGTGCCGGTGATTGCAGTGCCTACGAGTGTCGGCTACGGTGCAGCGTTCGGTGGACTGGCTCCACTGCTGACAATGCTCAACGCTTGCTCCCCCGGCGTTGGCGTCGTCAATATTGACAATGGCTTTGGCGCTGCTGTACTAGCCGGTGAGAACGTGTCCATGTGATTCCGTACGGACATCTTGCACTAACACTGTCTTCCAGCTCGAATCCTGCAGCAACTCCGCTGATGGGTCTTGCACTTTCGTTGCGGAAAACGACACGAGTCTTCGGGGCTTCTTTCGCTACACCCCAATCGAATACAATGAGGACAGGCGTATCTGCATACATCGAGACGCGCAGGAAAAGGGATCACCAGTCGTGCTCGTTCTTCATCGTCACTGGTAGGAGACTCACTGCAACAGGTTAAGTGAGAAGAAGGGCTGAAGAAGAAGTTGAGCGCGTTTTCGAGCAGCAAGTGCTGGCCAGATGTGCTCGTACAGTTGAGGATTCGCCTTTTAAGCACAAGCAAGACAATAGGCCTTATCACACACACAACTGCTGGCAGCTCTGGATGCCTGTCGTACCATTAACCATCGGGCTTTATCATACCAGGTATGGAAGCGACAAACGTAGCAGAGTATTGTTCAAGAACAGCGAAGAAGACAATGCTAAGGATTGAAGACGCACGTCAAGACTGCACATGACTACACGTGTCTACAAACTCGTAGCGCACTCCTTCCCGGCACCGACCGTCACAGGAATGTGCCAGCAATGGCCCTTTTGGTACCCTCCCTTGACGATCTCGGCCGACTTGACGCTGAACGTCCACGAATTGTCAAACGTCACGAACTCGGTCTTGAGCCAGTCTTCGGAAAAGTGCAGCATGAAGAACCCGTAGGGGTTACCAGGCGCGATCCACGCGTGCTCGACGTACTTCTCGGCCACTTCAGGTGGCATGCCCGACGTCTCGGACTGGATGCCACCGCCGCCGCCGTTCTCGAAAAAGTGGGTGCCCCAGTTGCTAATGTCGTGGTTGAAGCCGTGCGTGTGGCCATTGAGCCAGAGGTGCGCGCCGCCTTCTTTGGTGACCATGAACCACTCCTTCATCTTGTCTTCGCTCATGTGAAAGTGCGGCGAGTAGTGCGAGTTGATGACTTTCCACGTCGCACTCGACGCCGCCAAGTCCTTCTTCACTTGCACGAGCGAGTCGTCCCACCACTTTTTGATCGTGTCGGAACACGCATTGTACATTTCGGTGTCCCCTCCTGCACACAGCTCGTCCCCGGGAATGCGATCGTTGCACGTCTTGCCCAACGTCTTGGCGTCGGCCTCGCTCAGCCCCTTCTTCTTCACGTAGCCGTAGCACTGGCAGCAGATCTGCCGCACGCCGTGCGAGTCAGCAAAGTTCGTGTCGACGTTGAAAATGTCCACCGACACGTCGTTCGCCTCGACGTGTTCGACGTAGTAGTGGTCCGAGAGTTTCCAGCGATCGTTGTTCGCGCTCGTGTATTCCTGTTGCAGCGAGAACTTGAGGTTCAAGTACTTGAGCAGCTCGTCCGTGCTCTCGCACTCGCGAAAGTTGTAGTCCTTGTCGCCGCAAATGTACTCGGAGCCGCCGAGATCGTGGTTGCCCACGACGTTGATCCATGGGATACCTTCGAGCTCGGGCTGGTCGTACACGCTCTCGAACGTCGTCTCCATGCGGTAGTCAATGTCGTCGGGACCTGCACCGTTCCAGTAGATGTTGTCGCCGTGGCCAATGATGCACGACGGCTTAATGTCCCCCGCGGCCTGCGCCAGGAGCTCAGCCACGTTCATCTGGGCCCAGTAGTCGATCTTCATCTCGAGCGAGTCGTTTGCCACCTTGCGGTACTTGTTGCAGCACGACCCCGGCTTGTCCGTCGTGGCGCCCCAGTCGCCAATTGCAAGCATAGTCAGAGCCGCTTTGGCCTCTTCGGGATCGCTGGTCGGTTCGTTCGTGGCCGAGCCACTGCCACTCGACGTCGTGTTGGTCAGTAGGTCCGACTCGGTCACGCTGGAGCTCCGGCGCGACTTTGTGCCCCCTGCGCTTCCCATGCCAGAGCCGCTAGAAGCTGTCGCTCCACCACTTGTGGTGTTGGCACTTTCATCGTCAGTGCCACCTGTGACGGCAACGATGATGCCAATAGCTACGCCAATGGCTACGACGATACTGACTACGATAATGATCTTGCGAGCTGCGACCATATTGTCTCGACTACTTGAGACCAAAGGTGCAGTCAATAGCCGTGAGGACACACGCGCTCGAAGCGGTGCAAAAGGGAAAGTGGCCCTCGAAGTCTCTGGTGTGTACCTACGTGCGAAGTACGACAAAACCACTTGTTGCGGGCATCGTCGCCTGTCCTCGAGAAGGGCTGTTCAGAGCTCACCAGTCGTGTGTTTGCACGGTCGTTTTGGATATTGACCGTCTTGCTACTGCAACAGCTGCCATGGGCTCCGACATGTGAACAGGATGGAGTTTGTCTCCTGCAACGTGGACCTCGCCTCGAGCGGCAGGAACAAGCATCGTATGCTCCTGGCTTCACCGCGTCAGCTGGAACACGGAAGCATCACGAGTCGACTCGGCTTAAACGTGGTATCTACCGCTACAATCGACTTGATTCGAAGAGCTGCTGAACAAGCGAGTTGCAGTCAAAGGGTTTGCCCGTGCGCCATTGCTCGAGCCGACTTCGACAAGGAGTAGATTGAGACTGATGCAACTAAACCAAACTCGGTGACGCGAGGCAGCCGTACGAGAGTTTGACGGCGATTTGTGAACAGCGTCTGAGCGGAGTACGCAGTCCTGCTGGAAATGCATACGTCCAAGCCGTGTCGAAACCCCCCGTGCGTTTACTTTGGTTAACGATTGCTAAACCTTTGCAGGGAAAACGTGGACGTTTCGGTTACAGTCGTAAGGGTCACATGCTCGAGCAGCGAAGTGGCTACTGAAAAACAAACTCGCGCTGCATAGTCACACGGCGAAAACTAGGTGAAACCGAAACGCTGAAACCAAACCCGCGTGTGCGCGAGCAGTCGCCTGCTACTTGTGGGGCTCAGCTCGTGTCATGAGAGTCGAATGTAGCGTTGTCGAATACACCTTCGACGACCGAGAAGCGATTTGTGACTTTGACGCGCAGCAGCGGTACCACATCCCTGCATGGGCGCCAGTTCCGACAAGGCGGTTGGTCGCATGGCTGTCAATGGAAGTCTTTCTGACCAGAGTCGTTGGCCCGAGCGCAAGACTTCACAATAGCGTACGACTGTCTCCTTTGTTCCCACTTGCAACTTTGTTGTGAACATGTGCACAGCAGGTGGTCACAAAGTGATGGCGGCAGGTTGCGATAGGAATTTCGATTGAGGGCTATGAAAGTGCGAAGCCACGCAGACATGTGCTTTTAGCACCTGTACAACACGTCTTGAAGCCACTGAGAACTGTCAATTTAGCTTGCACGACCAGAAGGGTGCGTCTCTGTGCTTTCCCCTTCGCACGGTATGGCAAGTCCGTCCATCTCAATGCTACCAAACGTTGCACATTTGTGGAAGAAGAAGGATGATACTTGCACTGAGACGAAGGACGCCGCGACAACTACCGCAATAGCAGCAACAAGCAGCGATGACACGGACCGGTAACGATCGGCAAATCTTTTTGTGCTAAAAAATGAGATTTCCAAAACGCGAGTCCACGGATCACAGCAACAAACAGCACTCGCCTTGCAACGGGGTGAGCCCGTTACGTGTCATTCACACCAAATTAGGTCAACTAGAATATTTACCATGATCGATAACACTCACCGATATTTACGTTGCTAAGTAAAATTAATCGAATATAACCTTTAGCGGTATTTTACAGCACCGCGCCACTTTTGGGTCAATATGGATGAAAATCGTCACTTCTCCGACCTGACTTAGTGTTTGGAAACGACGGAAAGCGAATAGAATTACAGCAACGCGTTTTCATCCAATTACAAAGTATATTTACATGTTTCAGCCAATCAAAAACTGTAAGGGTAGGGAAGTACAGTACGTCGGCCGTTCCGACGTATTTGGTCGGAAGAGAGCGCCAAATATGTATATGTTAATACAAACCCCAAGTCACGGTTGTATCATTAGCATCTATGCGTAATATCCGACTTCAGATGAGTTAGGTTGGTCTGCAAATGTATCTGTCACTACAAAACCCAAGTCACGGGTGTATCATTTGCAGATTGGCGTGCCGAGTGACTTCAGATGAATTTAGTTGATATGCAGCCTGTAGACCCAAGCGAGCCAGAGCGACTGCTGTGAAGGCATTCGTGAGGTTTCTACAGTCTGAGAATGCAGATCTAGAGTATGTCAAGGGCTGCGTTCAGCGCGACGACTCTGGACAGTGCATTTTTCCGGTAATGGATACGTTCGGTATGTATCTTGGATTCAACGAAGGCAGGTCTGGCAAGCCGCTTGCTAGACATTCTTGCATGCAGTACTACCGACAGACTAAGCATTGATTGCTAGATCAGTTTCCCACAGCAGCGTGCTTTATTCGAATCACGGCTACTCAAAATGGGTAGAACGTTATAGAAATAATGAGCCAGAAGAGAAGGTGGCGGGTGTGAAGAAGGCCAATGCGTGTACGAAGACTGACTTATAGCGGATGAAATATTATTTAAACGCATGCTCGCCTACTGATTACCAGAATGCAGATTTGCTGTGCCATCTTTGGTGCCTATTTGGGCGTGCATCGGACTTGACGCTAGTCCGCAAACAGAATGTCTCGATTGATGCGAGCGACGTATTCTTCGTACGCTTCATTTACATGATAACGTGCAAAGAACAGAAATTCTCGATCATCCTCACCGGCGAGTTCGCCACAGTTCCGCTACACGCCATCGCTCTAGCTCTGGTCACACAGGCAGCGTTGTGTGCCGACCTCCTCGACAACTTGCCCGCTCAATTAGGGAACATCGCAGTCAGATTCGGCCCTGAAACGTCGCTGCTCGAAGTTCTCGACCACCCAGAGGCTTCCTGCGGCGTAGCTGCTTCTATCTCAGGTTCAGACAGCTCGCCACCAATCCACAGCCACGTCAATCGCCTACTCGACCGCGTCTCCACTCGAGCTCGGGTAGCGCAGCAGCTCACGTCACTCTCCTTCCGTCGTGGCGGTGCGCAGCACGCGAATAGCAGCGCAAAGCTCGCGGCGCGCTGGATCTTCACCCGCGGCGCCTGGAACATGAGCACGACAAAAAAAGCGTCTAGCTGTGTGTTCAACACCATGAACGAGGACCACAAGGTTGCGAAGATGCCAAGTGGCTGGAAGACGAGCGAGTCCTGTCGCTCGCCAACTTAATTCTCTTCGATGCTCAGACCCAGGGCAGTATACGAAAGGTGCAGGCGATGCTGTTTGCAACCTGTCAGAGCCTCAGCGAAAAGAAGTTCAATGTCAATCAGCGCGTCTTCGGCGTGCTAACCGCGTACCTGGTAATGCATTTCTCGCTTTTTAAAGAGGCAAACCCCAACGGGCAAGCTGTAAAGCGCTTGGAAACTTGCGTGCTGGAATTTAATCGCACCCCTGAAGATTTGCTCGCATGGCCCACGCATCTCACAACGTCTCCCTGTGCAAAGAAACATAAAGAAAAAGAAGAAGACATATCCGAGAGGTCAAGCATAGAGTCTGAAGAACGCAAACCTATTCGCCACCAATCTTCTATCATTGATCACTTTATCCGACATGCAAGACGCCTAGACGAGCGCATGGATGGGCTAGTCGATAAGCTCGTCGAAGCGCAACCTTCAAGGAAAAAAACAAGAACAGAGAGGAGGATGAAACTTCAGCAAATCTACAAAGCACAGAAATCAGTCGTCGCTAAGTCACCTTCACTCAGTGTGGTTCAATTGGTACGCATGTGAACCGCGCTTATGGAGCACCCACGGTTAGAAGCAACTTAAGGGTTGCACATTGGGGGGTATGAAATCTGGTTCTGGTTATAATGGTTCTCAACGCAATTTGTATGAGCACGATGCAACCTACTCTAACCCCTCACAATTGGTGCTGGCAACTCAAAGTGTAAGTTGCTATTATCCCGTCGTTATTATAAACCTTTCCAACAGTCGTAAACGCAGCTCGGTAGAAGCAGCTCCACACTCGACTTTTTATAGCCACACACACGCACAACTACACTGTCCGTCATTTGAGCACCAGCACGCGCGTGTTGCGGGAATTCGTACACGCAACCCCATACACTACAACGACTGCATCTTGTGCCTTTACCTCTGCCACACTCGACTGCATCTTTATCTGTGGCTGCTGTGGCTACGACTCGTTTTTCGACTGCGACCTGGAGTCCGACTGCGACTCGAACTCCGCCGGCGTCAGAACGGACTTGGCAAGCGTTGACGTCGCCCACCGCGGAATGGCGACGGGCCACGTCGACGCATAAACGCTTGTGAGCGCGGAAATGAAATCCGACAGGTAGAACAACATTGATAGCAGCAGAAACACCTACAACAGCAGCAGCAACAGCAGCAGCATCAAGTAAGAAACAACCACAGCAACCGCAGTACCTACAACAACAGCAGCATCAGAAATAGCAGTTGCAGCATCAACAATAGCAACAACAAAAGCAAAATTATTAGCATTAATATAAAGTACACCAGCACCGACGGACTGTGTTGACGGCCGTGACCGATGATACGAAGACGCGTTTACGTACTTATATCCCGCGTCTGCGCCTGCAACTGGTGGCTGCAAGCGCAGCACGCCCGCGGCAGAACCCTCTCTGCGGCTCCCCAAACAGGGCGGGGGTTGGCCACGGCCGTAAAATGGAAAAACGAAACTGATTAAAAACGTGTCGTTTATGTGTGCCGCATTAACTTGTTTATACTAGGACGTGTGGATTATGTGTACTACATTAACTTGAGTATACTAGGACGAGTTTTTATATTTTCGTGATCAGATGGGGCATTTTTTATTCTATCGATTATTAAATAGCAGAGTTGGGGGATAGGGTTGAAGCAAAGGGGGATACACGTGTTCACCTCCAACGTGGTCGTTAAAGGTCATACCCTCACAGACATCCTCCGCAAGGTGATATACATGGAGAAGCAGACACGTCCAAACCTCACCCAAGAAGCTCTGTGTCGGTAGATTCTGGATGAGCATGGAGTCACGGTCACCTAAGGGATAATTAGCAGCAACCTGAAGCGTTCTACAGCACGTTTACGTCCAGCCGAGA